AGGTTTTCAGCTGTATTACGAGTTTTTTTTTGTATATACAATACAGTTTTCTGTTGTATGAACTGTATTCTGACTTTTAGCGTGATGTATACTGTCCTGTTCTGTCATATATCTATGTATAAAGCATAATGAATGTTGGCTTTTAGTTTTTACCTGTATGCAACTTTTCGACCAGAGATTATTCATATCCTATTTTAAAAGCATCTTTTAGTGGGCCATTTTAGGACTTTCCTCTCCTTATAATCATTAATAAGCTCTTTGCCTCAGAGTATTAAAAAGTATCTTTGAGTCGAGTACTTTGAAGCTTTGCTTCTTTGCTATTGTAACCTTCACTTTGCATGTTTGCTGCTGTTCTGCGTTGGCAGCTGTTGTTGTTGTTCTTGCGGCGCTGCGTTGGCGTAGGCGTTGGTTGCTATAGCTGCCACAAACACACACACACGCAAACAGGTGTAGCTGTTGTTATTGTTGTAATATACATACGTCATGTGGTAGGAGCGCAGAGCTCGAAGTCAGCTATCCATAACGGGGTTGACTGCTGGCAGCGACGTTAAAGTCGACGTTGGCATCAACAGACACACACACTCGCACACACACTCGCACACACACTCGCACACACACTCGCACACACACTCGCACACACACACGCATAGCTGTCAGCACGATCGCAATTTTAGTTCCAATTCCGAATTAAATTATTTTTTTTCAAGCCTTGCTTTTGCTTTGCTTTTGGAACGCCAACGCCGGTTGGCGTATTTCATGTGCCAATTCCATTTCGTTTCGTACGCGTGTTTTGTTGTTGCTTTTCTATTCTCGCCACAACCGACGCTAGCAGCGCTGCCAGCAGCGACGGCGTCAACCGTAAACACCTGGCCAGAGCAACACTTTAAGCGTTTTAACTTGGCCCGATCGCGTTTAGTCGTTGTCGAACCGCCGCACACATTTGTTGTTAGTGCCCCCGTAGCATGTATCTTTCATGAATATATATATAAAGATATAGATACAGCTGTAAATCTATCTATAAGTCGTAAAATGCCTATGTCCAGCTAAGCGTAAAGCCATAGAACTCTGAACTAAATTTGTCTCGTGCCTTGTTAATTGTTTTTCGAATAAAATATATAAAATATTTATTAGTAAATAATAAAGAAAAATCGCGCGGTTTTAAAATTCGATTTAAAGTTTAAATCAATAAAACGAAAGATATTTACAATAAAAATATTTTAAAAATAAAATAAATAAAAATTAAATAATAAATATAGACAAACTCTCAACAATAATTTAACTGAGAAAAAAGTAACAAAAAACAGATATTTAAAAACAACTCAAAAAATGTTTGAAATATGTTTTAAAAGAAAATAAAATATTATGTTGCTACATATTTGACGAGTTTATTAAAAATATATAAAATATTAAAGACAACTGTTAACATTTTTAAAAACATTTTAAAAGTAATATAAAAAATACATATAATATATATACAAGACTAAGTCAATAAGATAATACTTAAAACGCACACTTAAATAAAGTAAAGTCACAAAAAATAAATAAAATAACCTAAACAACAACAACAAAAACAAAATACCAATAAACAAAAAACAAGACAAGACAAGACAACCTAAAACTCTTTTTGCATGATGTCAGAGAACGCGTCGAGCTTCAATTTAAATTTTAATATGGGATTTATATCTGGCTAGCAGCTCGTAGACCCCTTTCGAGTTTCCTGCCTCTTCATCTGTGTCTCTCGATTTATTAATGCGCCTGCTGCAGTATCGTTATTTTTGATTTATTAAATGCCGCCTATATCAATTGATTTCAATCTGAATGCAATTGAGTTCAATTTTGTTTCAATTAAGTGTGCTTTATAAGACGAGTTCATTTCTTCAAGTGTGTGTGTATGTGTGTGTGTGAGTGTAATAAAGTGTTGCTGCAATAGCTGTAAAAATAATGACGTGCTCAGACATATGGATTCTCCCCTAGTTCCGCTTCGGCGCATCTTAGCAAAAGCAGTTTGTAAAATATTTGTAGCCTTTTTTTGGCTGTTTATTTTATGATTTGTTCGAATTGGATTTATGTGCTGTCATAGCAAAGTCAATGCAAATTGTCTACAGCACAGCTCTTAACGCGTCGTCAACTTCAAACAGTAGCCAGCAGCCAAAATAGGCAAGAGCTACTCGGTTGTAGAGAGAACAACAGCTGCTGCTGCTGCGGCGGCTCCATTCAAAATGTCAAGCTATTAACGCCTCTTAGTGTCGCCTCCGCAGACACTTAAAGCCAAAAACAAAACAAAAAATCACTTCATTCAACTGCAACGTTTTTTGTATCTTATTTTGCTTTTAATAATGTTGCAATTAGCATTTTTTGTTGATCTGTGAGTCTGAGTCTGAGTGTGAGTGTGAGCGAGTGTCTGTGTGGATGTGTGGGGAGGAGGCGCTGGTGACCGCCATGTCACGCATTTGCGCAGGCGTCGCCTTTCAATGATAGGTTAACGGGTGGGTGCTCATTTTGGCCAAACAACTTGTTGCTGCTGCTGTTGCTGTTGTTGTTCTTGCTTGATCTTGAGCCATTATGATTAGATTTGGGCTTTCAAAGTAGTACAAATATCATATCTGATGGCCTTGCTTATCAGAAAGACTGAAGCTAATTGACATAAAAACAAATAAAAAGAAATGCGTTAAACACTTTTCATTGTCAAAATTCCATTTTTAATAATCGAAATATCTCGTCTCTAGTTTTAATAGACGTTTGTTAGCTACTCTAGACATATATCAAATCTTATCAAAATAATAATGGACATTTTTGAATTGCTTCAAATACATTTCTCTATGCCACTTGTGACACAGCTTGTTAGGCCGCAAGTGAATAGTTTGGAGCGTGTTCCTTCCCATAACGTTCCCTGTCAAAAAATATTCATTTTAGCTTCACAATTAGCTGTATTGTTGTTGTCGTGATTTGTGCCCGGCGGCTTCACTCAGCCTGTGCACATGAACTTTTAGTTCTGGTTGTTGTTACTTTTTTCATGCTCATAAATATATAAAGAAATATTTATAATAAATGAATCAAATTTGGTGTAACGAATAGCAAATGCACTAAGTACTCGAGTATTATGTATATGAATATAAAATTAGTATTGGGATATATATATATTACTTTGTATAATCAGCAGCTGTTTAGTATTTGCTGACATATTGAGAATAGCTAGATACAAATGGTCTCACGTAGATTATTAACTTGATATTCAAATATTTGTATCTCTTGATACTCTTTCTTATCTCTAACCAACACTTTAACTGATCCCAAGTATTTCAGCTCTTGTCTCATATATAAACTTTATTTGAAAAACATTTTATAAAATTACAAAGTATGTTACATATTATATCTATAACGTGATATACTCTTAAGCTTAAGGCATTGTAAAAGAAATCCCAAAGACAGTTAGACATTTGGACAGCCAATCTCTAGCTGGTTGGCTGGATAATTATGTGTATGTACAAGACATAAATAATTCGCTCATCAGCAGTAGCAACAACAATAACAATAACGTTGGGCACTACAGTGGGGCAAAGCCCTCGACTCTGTGGGTGCCTTTTGGCTGGCTTTTTCGCACTGACTAAGAACAAGACATCCGGTGCCAACGCCGGTGCCTGTGCCGGTGTCGGTGCCGGTGCTGGTTTTGGCCGGCTTTTGACTTAATTAAACGCAAATTGCGGTGCCGGCAACTCAATTGTCTGTGAACACGAAATGCGGTGGGGCGGTTGGCACAGGCAGTTTAAACGAATTAAAATCATTTTGTTTAAAATCACGCACAAAAATAGAATTACGAGTCAAGAGCTGAGAGAGTAAGAGCCACACGGAGAGAACGAAACGAAAGCCGAACTTAAAGAAAGTCAAGTGAAAAACGAAAAAAATAAATCAACGATATCCCGATAAGGATAACAAAAACGATAACTACAACGATAACAGGCTGGAGTCCAAATCGAAATCATGCGCTCCAGCTCCAGTTCGCAGTCGACTCTGAAGCGCACTCAGCAGCTGGTGCGGCAAACGAATGGCGGTCCACCCCATGTAAGCAGCGGCAGCGAATTGGTGCACACCACCCGTGGACCTGCCATAACGACCAATATCGATGACTCCAGTTTGCGATACCGGCATGAAACGAAGCGGGAGCGCACTGTCGAGGCTGTCATCACGGACTATCCGGGCGTGGCGCCGTTTGGCACTGTGCCACACGAGCGCTCGAACTTCGAGCGCATCGTCACGTTCCAGGATGGAGTAGATGGAGGTAGAAGCAGCGTGAGACGTACATCGGATAGCAGTCGCGCTTTGGTACCCTCGACTGGTTCGCCCACCACCAGCTATCAGCAGGTGACGCGCAACAAGCGCATCTCCACGGAGGTGCTTGGCTCGAGTGTGGAGAGCACCAAAACATCGCAACGCGCTCCCAATGGACATCGACGTGTTACCACGCACATTGTGCGTAAGGTGACCACGCTGAGTCGCGCCGAGGAGAACCAACAGCCGGCAGAGGATTTGCTGCCGCCTGCTAAGATGATACGTAGCTCCGAGTTGGAGTATCGACGCGCACTGCCGCCGGCCATTGAGTCGAGTAGTATGCAGCGCAGAGAGGTAAAGCGGCGATAGACATGGGTTAAGATGATAAGTGCTGGGAAATAATCAAGTAAAATATTTCAAATAAGTATCAATATATGAGATTGGTGATCTGATCGCCAGCGAGGACAGCTATCCAAATTAAATTACAATTAAAATTTGACTCTGATATTATAAAAAATCATTATTCAATTCTATTAGACTGCAGAGCTACTACTTCAAATATAAAATATTTTTCTCTTTTTATACACAAGGAAATCTTTTAAATGTGCTTTTCAGCTATGTGTGTTAGATCTTTTAGGAAAACATGCTCTATTTACATTCGATATATTATAATTATCATTTAATATAAACTCAAAGTATATAAAAATATCTAATTTAATATTAATTTAATTCAGATTTCCGATATTGTTGTTGGCAAAGAGGACAACGTATCCGCACGTGAGGCCCTACTGCGCTGGGCGCGACGCTCGACGGCTCGGTATCCGGGCGTGCGTGTTAATGATTTTACATCGTCATGGCGCGATGGATTGGCCTTCTCGGCGTTGGTGCATCGCAACCGACCGGACTTGCTTGACTGGCGAAAGGCAAGAAACGATCGGCCGCGCGAGCGCCTCGAGACGGCATTCCATATTGTGGAGAAAGAATACGGTGTTACGCGTCTATTGGACCCAGAGGGTGAGCATCGTTTATCATATCAAATCGAACTATTTTAAATACTAAAATATGCTCAATTCGTATTCTCAGATGTGGACACCAATGAGCCGGATGAGAAATCCCTGATTACGTACATTTCATCTCTGTACGATGTATTCCCGGAGCCACCATCTATTCACCCCCTGTTCGACATGGAGTCACAACGTCGCGTGCACGAGTATCGCGATTTGGCACAACAGTTTATCTATTGGTGTCGCGAGAAGACCGCATATTTGCAGGAACGTTCGTTCCCGCCAACGCTAATCGAGATGAAACGTCTGTTGAGTGATCTGCAGCATTTCCGCAGCGAGGAGGTGAGCGCACGAAAACGCGAAAAGTCCAAGCTCATACAGATCTATAAGGAGCTAGAGCGTTACTTCGAAACAGTGGGTGAAGTGGATGTAGAGACTGATCTACGTCCAGATGCCATCGAAAAGGCCTGGTATCGTATGACCACAGCCCTGCAGGATCGTGAAGTTATACTCCAGCAGGAAATTGAACGTTTGGAGCGTCTACAGCGTCTAGCCGATAAAGTCCAACGCGAAATTAAGCATGTGGATCACAAGCTGACCGAGCTAGAGACGCGCGTCACTGAGGAGAGCAGACGCATAGAGCGTTTGCATCCCGTCGATGCCAAGAGCATTGTCGAGGCACTCGAAACAGATATTAGACATCTGGAGGAGCCCATACAGGATATGAACCAAGATTGTCATGTGCTCAATGAGGGTCGCTATCCTCATGTCAGCGAGCTGCACAAGAAGGTCAACAAATTGCATCAACGTTGGGCTCAATTGCGCACCAATTTCCACACGAACCTGGTACAGAAGCTGTCCGGCTTAAAGTTTCCCGTCCACGAGACGACCGTGACGCGTCAAACGCGCATGGTGGTCGAATCACGACAGATCGATACGAATCCACATTTCCGCGATCTGCAGGAGCACATTGAGTGGTGCCAGAATAAATTGGTGAGTCCAGAACACTAGAAACATTAAAGGTTTATAGCTAACCACATTTTATTTGTGTGATTCTAGAAACAACTGCTTGCCGCTGATTATGGCAGTGATCTGCCGTCGGTCAAGGAGGAATTGGATCGTCAACAGCACGAACACAAAATCATCGATCAGTTCCATAGCAAAATACAAAACGATGAACGCCAGCAGACGAAGTTCTCGGGCGACGAATTGAACCTCTATCAGCAACGACTTAATCAGCTGCAAAAGGTCTATGCAGAGCTGCTAAGCACCTCGACGAAGCGTCTATCCGATTTGGATTCACTTCAGCATTTCCTTGGACAGGCCTCAGCTGAACTTCAATGGCTCAACGAGAAGGAACAGGTTGAGATCACACGCGACTGGGCGGACAAACAACTCGATTTGCCTTCTGTGCACAGATACTATGAGGTAATAATTTAATCTTAATATTGATAAATCTGATCTAAAGATGAAAATTAAAGTAGACAGTTTTCAGCACATCATTAAGAGAGTCGTGAATTTTGACTTTTTTAGGTTAAGCAAAGCATTTTTAACCGGTTAAGAAACATCTAAATCTTGCCTATGTTTGGTGTAACATTATTTTAAAAGAATTATCGCTCTGAGCTGGAGCTCTTGAAGAAGAAGTGTTTCTTAGTGTTTCTTACGATCAGATAACTTTCTTAATTATATAATCAATTTGTTATTAAATCTTCGGCTAGCCGTTGTTAGTGTTTTTTGATGATTTTTTATGTGTCTTGTGCTTTATCTAATTCCAAGCGTGCATTTGGTAATGGCGACGAGGTAAGATTGGTTTTAATTTAAATTAAAGTAGACAGACAATATCCAAAGCAAGCAAAACCAGTTGCAGAAAAATTTATTTATTGTTTTACTAACATTTTACATTTTTTACTCTTCACAGAATTTAATGTCCGAACTGGAAAAGCGCGAAATGCACTTTGCCACAATCTTGGATCGTGGCGAGGCGTTGCTCAATCAACAGCATCCGGCATCCAAGTGCATCGAGGCCCATTTGACGGCTCTGCAACAGCAGTGGGCGTGGCTGCTACAGCTAACACTCTGCTTGGAGGTACATCTGAAGCATGCAACGGAATACCATCAATACTTTGCCGAGATTAAGGATGCAGAGCTATGGCTAAGTAAGCGCGATGAGATCCTAAACAGCAAATACTCGCAATCCGATTTCGGCTTGGATCAGGGCGAAGCACTGTTGCGCGGCATGCAGGATCTGCGCGAGGAGCTGAATGCATTTGGTGAGACAGTCGCCACGCTTCAGCGTCGTGCCCAGACGATTGTGCCGCTCAATAAGCGCCGGCAGCCGGTTAATCGGCAGGGTCCGGTACAAGCGATCTGCGCCTACAAGCAACAGGGACAACTGCAGATTGAGAAGGGCGAAACGGTTACATTGCTGGATAACTCAGGCCGTGTTAAGTGGCGCGTGCGCACTGCCAAGGGACAGGAGGGTTCCATACCCGGTGCCTGTCTGCTGTTGCCTCCACCGGATCAGGAGGCCATTGATGCTGCAGAACGTTTAAAGCGGCTCTTCGACCGATCCGTTGCATTGTGGCAAAAGAAACATTTGCGTTTGCGTCAAAACATGATCTTCGCAACGATTCGTGTGGTCAAGGGCTGGGATTTCGATCAGTTCCTGGCCATGGGACCCGAACAGCGAACGGCCATACGGCGTGCCTTAAACGATGATGCTGACAAGTTGCTCAGCGAGGGCGATCCCAACGATCCACAGCTGCGACGCTTGCGACGCGAAATGGACGAGGTCAATCGCTTGTTCGATGAGTTTGAGAAGCGCGCCCGAGCTGAAGGTGAGTTTGTGGGCGTTTTACAAGTGGGAAATGGGCGTGGGCGTCGACAAGTCGCCTTTCAATTGGCGGCGTTTGGCCAGCTGTCAACTTTTGACTCTGACGTCCAATTAAGCGTTTAATTGAATTGAATTTAATGTGCGCTTGATTTGCACCGAAGCTTCGACCAGGAAGCATTCAACTTAGTCTCAAGTCACAAATCAAACGTAACGCAACATGAAGAAACTATTCGCGAGCGCCAAACAGCGCGGTAATCTTCAGCAGAGCTCAAACTAATCTTCTTTTTAATCCCTTCCTTCATTTACAGAGGAGAGCAAACAGGCGAGTCGCATCTTTACGGAGGAATGCATTGCCATAAAGAGCAAATTAGAGGATATGGCGCGTGAGCTAGATCAAATTATATTGGCTCCATTGCCACGTGATTTGGATTCACTTGAACATGTGCTTGCCATACATGGCGACTATGAACGCCGCTTGCATCTGCTCGAGCCGGAGCTGAAGCACTTGCAGGAGACCTTCCGCACGATAGCGCTGAAGACGCCCGTGCTAAAGAAATCGTTGGATAACCTAAATGAGTTGTGGAAGGAGCTGAACACACAGAGCAACCTGCACAAGGATCGCTTGAAGCTGCTCGAAGTCTCGCTGGCCGGACTCGAGGATAACGAACATGTTATATCCGAGCTAGAGAATGAGCTGGCCAAGCATCAGGACTTGCCCTCCACAGCAGAGGGATTGCAGCATGTGTTCAAGCAATTGACCCACATGCAGGACATAATCACACAACAGCAGCCGCAAATGGATAAAATGAATGATGCGGCCGATCAGCTGGGACGCATGGGTGTGCCCACCAAGGTGTTGGGCGATCTGAAACGTCTGCACTCGAACGTGGAGCGTTTGAATACGCGCTGGAGTGCGGTCTGCAATCAACTGGGCGAGAGGTAAGAGCTCTAGTTGTGTAAAATATTATTAATTGAACCTGACATATGAACTACCTAAGATATATTATACGAAATGTTTTAATGAGCAGTTTCTGAACGAAATGTTCTTTTGAGCTATACAACTTTCTGAAAAACTGTCTCTGTCAACTCGGGCGAAATCAAGCTGAACTCTTGAACTAGTAAATATATTGGTCCATCAAAAAATAGAATATAAATATAGATATCCCAAGCCACCTGTTCGATTGTGGATCGTGTGTGACAATTGTAAATGCTTCATTAAACTCTCCATATATGTTTCTAAATACATTGCTCGTCTATTCACCTCTTCACACCTGTCTATTGCAGAATGCGCTCATGCGAGACGGCGATTGGACTTATGAAGAATCTCCAATCGAGCGTGCAAGTCGAGGAATCATGGGTGGACGGCACCACCGAACGTCTATCGGCCATGCCCACAGCGACTTCAGCTTACGAATTAGACGTGAGTAGCGTTTGTTCACTATATTCATATATTATCATTTTAACTTTTTAATTTTTAATCAGTTCTGATCAGTTAGTTTATAGTAAATATATGAACATTTCTCTACATATATAAATATTTAGCGTAAACCCAACTTGTATAGTTACACCTCTCAGTTATTTAGTGAGATTATTCAGTTCCCCTCTAGGTCTATATCAATTCAAGCAACACAAAGTATATATAAATATGTTGACAATATTTTGTATGATGTATATATATTAAATACCAATTCAAAATGAAAGCGTAGTTAACTATATTTTGCTTAACCAGTGCTACGTCCCTCAGTTCCTCTGCCCAAAAAGTAGTTTTGTCTAAAAAAATATTGGAATATTTCCTCATTTATTTATGGGTCAAAACTTTGGTGTTGGACATGTTTTAAATGTCTGTGTGTTACATATATATAGTAGACATTCAAATGTATATATTTCAATTTGTATAATATAGCTTCAACAAATATATAAATACCCTGTAAATTGTTACTATAACTCGTACCCAGACTCTCGATAATTCGTAGTTCTTGTCTAATCGAAAAACAAATGAAAACTGTAGCAAGCTGGTCTGTTGTCAGGCAGCTACACATATACACAAACATCCACACAGCTATGCATTATATGTATATATACACTCTATGTTTTCACACCAACTATGTGATGTCCCCACACACCCCACCTCTCGAATACACCCATTGTCCCGTTACGTGTCTACCCAGTAAATTTTTGAATATCTTATTATTGCTCTAAGTAAATGTTATATTTTCGTAGCTTTGTTTTTATATATATGAATACCATCTATATGTCATTACGATTCCACCTATATATCATATCATTATAGTAGTCTTATTGTATTTGTAGTTGAAAACTAATTGTATATCTGTATTTTTGTCTAATTTCTTGTATTTTCACCCAATATCAAAAACCAAAATCAATATCATATTCTATAAAAAACAAACACAAACACAATGAAACAACAAAAACTCAATCAATCAATTGTTACAAAAATTACCAAAATGAAACAAAAAAAATGTCCACAAATTGCAACCAAACCTCCCTCGCAAATATATATATATATATATAAATATATATGTATATATAGAAACTGCTCGGAGCTGCTATCGAACGAAAACCAAAAATCGAAAATGTCAACGTGGCTGGAGGACGTCTCATTCGTGAAGCTAAGGTAAAAATTTGAATGACTGTCGTATGGCTGAATACTCTATATACAATAAGCATAGGGCACGATTTGAAGTAGATCTGTTCTAGAGAACCTTTGAGAAAAGTTAGCTCACTTTTCAATTATCTTATGTCAGATGTGAATTATGTTCCTATTACACTTTTAGCTATCAGACATAGTTTTTGTAGAGGCTGTAGGCTCCAATCCAAGTCTCGTATAAATATCTAGATAAATTATATAGACCAAATATTAAAAATACCAATGACCAAACCAAAGGAAAAAGATATATAAAGTGTAAATAAAAATATATAGGGCTTAAAGCTTATTAAGAGTTTTGTGCTAAAAGAAAAAATAATAGTTTAATACTATAATTCCCATCATACCTTGATAAGGTAAGAAAATGAAGAGCAATCTATAAAATCTGCCCTATGCTAAACATCCGCTCCCTTACCCTCTTCTTCAGTATGTTTGTGTGTGTGATTGTGAAACCTTTTCGAAATTCTATTATACCAACTATATGACTCAATATTCTATGTGTTGAGTTTACTTTTACCTTTGTCTACCCTACACACTTTTCGTCTATTATCTCTGCTATATCCTTATTATATACGAACCTTTCAATATTTAATGCTTTTTAAAAACATATATGAAAAAATTCGGTGCTTCATTTGTGAAGCGCGCGATTGCGAGTAGCTTAAAACTGCGGGTACAAGGTGCGTCAATAACACTTGGGTTAAACAACAACAACAACAACAATATTGACAAACACAACAACAACAACAAACAACAACAACAAACAAACAGTAAACCAAACTCACACAACAAACAATTAAAAAGCAATTGTAATCAACGTAATTTCGTATTGATTAATCAATGAAATAAAAAGCACTAAATATATGACTAGAAAAACAATATTTACTCCCACACAAACCCCTCTTAAACTTTTGTTTAACACGAGCAAATTACTAACATTTAACTGACAAAATTAACCCAAAATGCTGCGGACAACATCAACGCGATCAACATTCGTGACGTCATCGTTTGCTGCGGACTCAGATTTACGATAGTAAATGTCTGCGCTTCGTCGATTGGCTGCTCGAGGCTCGACCCTCGTTCTCGCCGCCTCGGCGCGATTTGCGTCCGGCGGACAGTGATCCGGGTGCCACACAGTATTACAGCCAGCGTTTGGATAATCTCAATACGAAATACGACAGATTGCTGGAACAATTGTCGCAGAGGCTAAAAACTGCAATCGAGGTGAATGGCAGCGATGGTCTGGTGAGTATCTACTTGATCACTGAGTGAAAAACAGAGCGAGAGAGAGAGAGAGAGAGATATAGAGGGAGGGAGCTGCACAACTCCTGATGCCAATTCCTAAATTTAGATACAAACGTCAATTGCCAGGCAATGACTCAAAAAGTGTCTATAATTATAGGTAACGAACTTTAATGACGTAACCTTAGCAGCGTATCCAAACACTTGCTCGGTAGCAAAATACTTGTGTATCTACAACAAGAGGTACTTATATTCACAAAGTATCTGTATCTATAGCTTAAGTGACGTATAGATAGCGATGTGTGTAATTATAATAATTACCTAAGCAACATTTGTTGCTAATAGCTACGTAAATATAAAGTGTTCTAGGCGCAAAAACTACATTTCCAAGTTTAAAAAATATGTACTGATAACTCAGCATTGTATAAAGTATCTCAGAGTCAAATATCAAGTTTTGGTGGACTCAAAAGTCATCGATGATTCTAGGCAATATCAATAGCCACACTTTCTTTAAACAAAATGTATCTGCATGAATGAACCGATTCCCTTGCAAGTATTTTACTCATAATCTTATGTTTTCAAGAAGCATAAGCTACTTTCAGCTATAAATGTTATTGAATATAGTTAAAAAAAGATAATTTTTCACTTGAGTTGTATTTTCTAGTTGATATCATATTTATCTACAGCATCTGAGCTACTAGTTTAGCATTGAAGCTACTTGAAAGCTTTCGTTTTCAATGAATTGTCTTCGAGTTCTAGCGCACTTTGTATCTGTATCTTTGTATCTTTTTGCCAGCCTTATGCAATGCTATTATTAAATTAACCTTCAAAATGGATAGACTCACACACATGCGCATAATAATGACATCAGAGCGCAATTCCGTTGCGTTGTCAGCGTTTGAAATGTTGTCTAATAAATCACCATTTGATTAATTTATCTAAATGTTAAACTATTTTTTTATATAAATTATTTTATATCATTTTTTGTTTGTGCTCGTGACAATAATTTGTCTAATGTGCAAATTGCATTTATAAGATTTAGTTATCTATCTTGAATTTCACCTCTATGCGTCTATGCGTCGTATATAAGGAGCTCGCCTTCTTAATTATTTTCGGCCAATTAGGCAAATGAACTCAACTTAGCAATTAAGAATTCTGTTTATAACATGATGTCAATATGCATATATTATAAACATATTTCGCATATTTTTTGGATACCTAATCTTCGCTTCTAGGAAACTCAATGCCAAACAACGTCATCAACAGCTCATTGTTGACTCTTGGTCGCTATAATTATTTCAACTGTCAACTCTCTAGATTTTATTTGTTTTATGTATATTTTTCTGTTGCCTGTTGACTGTTTTTGGCAACTGGTTTTTTATTGATGCCCCAGGAAATTCAATTAAGAAATTCATTTAACCGCAGAGTTAAAATACAGAAAAATAAAATAAAACTCAACTCGTTTTGGTTTGTTTCTTTTATTTTAGCATACTCAAATATTGTACATGCTTGCAGAATTGTGTAAATATTTAGTTTTTAATTAACACATAATGAGTGGGAATAGAGAAAGGATTGTGTCCACAGTTGCTTGGCTGGGTCAGCAAACCGTCAAGTGGTTCGCCATGTTGATATCTCTGTTGTCATCAGCTCGCACTTAAATTGAGGTATGCGCGGAGCCCTTAACACAATTAGCACTATTTACCCAAAAATCTATACTCTATATATATATGTCCACTGTGCTCTTAAGGTGTTGTTCTTGACTGAGAGTGACATCATGAAATGCTACTAAGCATAGCTATAATATTCACAAATCTATGTATGTGTTAGACAACTTCATTGCCAGCTTTGGGGTTTATGTCTAAGGCTTAACTTGATATGCATAACATGGGCGGCCAAGCTTGGCATTAAGTGGAGTGAATGAGCATATTGCTATTTAGAAGGTTAGCTTCAACATTTGACTACAGCAAACTGGTTTTCCTTTTGTTATTTTTTTCATTTATGTAAATACCCTGTAGACCTTAGATGGGTATAGCTATGTTGGCAAAATATTGCAAGTTTGTTTGAGATGCGTGAAGTTGAATATAAATTCTATATGAAACTTTGATTTGTATTTTTATAAAATTTTATAATATTTTATATATAGTGAAAATATATATTGAAAACTTAAAACGTTCAGTGCAAATAAACTTTAGCTTACTTTATAAATATATCTCCAGGGTATCATTCTATGTGATCAGTTGCCGTGTGTCGGCTTTTATTCTTGTTTCTTTTTGCTTACCAAAAATCACAAACAAATCAAAACCAAATCTCCAATCTTAACAATTTGACAGACCGCACAAGCAACAACAAATGCATTAAAAACACCAATCTTTGAACGGTAGACAAACAACGTTGTTCGAACACGTTGTTTCCATTCTCAACGTGAACTTCCGTGTATTGTTTTCAGCATTTTGAGAGCTTACGAATCGAAAGGCCAATTGTAAATGGTTTTTAGTTGATAATCAGCCGGAAAAGCAACAGCTGATGAGCGCATAGCCGGCATATTTTACTGCTCTCTGCGAAAGCTCGCTCAGCACATTTATTTGAAAAGCTCTCGCTTCTCTCATTTGCCGTATGAACTACGGCTGTGAATTCCGTTCAGTATCAAATGCGACGTGGTTGTATAACGACGTAAAACTGAACGCGTACGACGCGTTTCTTAAACAAATAAGAAGTTTTTTGTGTGTGCGCGCGCGTCCGTGTGTGTGCCTGTGTGTCTATGTTTGTGCGTGAACAAAGGCTAAAAAAACCTACTTAAGGTTGCCCTTTAAGTTAAATAAATTCATTCGAATTTCAAATATTTCATTTATTTTTTGCACATATTGAAAACGTGTAAGCTGAGCAAAATCTCAACCAAATACCGTAGCAAAAAAGAACAAAATAATAAAATAATAATAGAAGAATATATCACGTATAGGGCCGGCGCGGCAATGCTCATACGCCGCGTTGTCACATACAAATAGAAAGTGCGATTGTATCTGTGTTACTTTAGCTGTGTGCGTGCCTTCAATTGAATACATGACACTCACGTCTGTGGCCCGCTTTTATTTGTTTAATAGAAATTTAAATATTTTATATAAAGTTCTGCGGCCCACACGAGATCCAAATACGAATTCAACAAATGAAGTCACTCGCAGAGCCAAATAGAAATAAAATTCAAATTGAAGAGCAAAAATAACGCCTAGAATCCGAAGTGTGAAACTGAAAATAAAAGATGAAGAAAACAGAAAAAAAAACAAGACAGCATATGCAATATTCATATAGCCTTGAACATGTCGCAAGAATCCATATGCTTTTTTTTTTGTACACACACATGTGGACATATATATACTCTATATTTATTTGGATGCTAATGAAGGCAGACAAAACGAACAACAAATTGGTTTAGTTTGTAGTAGCTGTTGTATTTTTTATGAGCTAACCCAAGTTGCATGAGTCCAGAGCTTGTTAAAAGAAAATTGCCCAAAAAACAATTTCGAAACGGCTGTAAAAAAGTGTATTAAAAGTGTTACGCTTAACTAGACCCATTAGACTACCCACTGACCTACACACGCAAATACACACACACATACACACTCATACACTCATCTTCAGTTAGTGACATATGACAACGACTATCAATGACTGCCATCAGCTGCTGTCAGCGGCAAGCCGTAGCTGAAGGCAGCTACTACGGCTAATCTAATCTATAGAGTTTTTAAATAAAATTGTAATTTCTCCATCTAATGTCTTGCAGTCAGGTTATAACAAATTTATATATTTTTAATTGTCATGATAGAGTGCTCTAAGTGGGTTCATCGAGTATATTAGCTCGATTTTATAATTTGAAAAACTATATTTTTCTCCATAAACAGATGATCTAATCTTTCTATGACTATGTTGAGTTGGATTAATAACCTGTAAGAGCATCATCAATCTTTCTTAAAGATACTTCCTCTTTTGCCTACGCAAAGGCACAAAATTTGTAGTTGTTTAGTCAAGTTACGATTTCTATAATTTCTTTTTCTTGATGTCTTAATTATATATTATTTAATTTTCGAGTCGAATTCTTTTTTTTTAAGAATTCGTTGAACAAGATTAGTTTTTTAGGAATTCTCTTGTAAAGTTTCATTCTTAACAACTTTCGTTTTCATAAAGTTCTGATGATAAACAGAAAATATATTATATATTTGATTGAGTTAGTCTTTATTTATCTTTAGCTTAAGCGATCTAATGTCTTGATAGTATTTTAGCCTAGGCTATTATAGTTGTTAGTTCGTTAAGCTACAGTCTTTCTGCTCCAGCTTTTAACCAAAACAAATACAGTGTATCTGCAAGTTGAAAGCTTGACACTAAATATGTCACTTACGTATTCTTTTATTTTAGGACTTTTATCATTTCATTTGTGTCTTTTATGTGTTTTCTGGTTTTCTGTTTGTTGTTACATTTTCGTTCAGCTTTTTCATATGTCATTGCGCTTGGTTCTTTCTGCATTGCTCATACATGCAATACGCTGCTCTTTATCGATTAAACTAGACGGAAAAAATTTGGCCGCCGCCTTAAACACACACATAGGCACATGTACCTACACACACATGTATTTTTAGTTGTGTATGTATGGGTACGTGTATATGTGTGTGTGTGTGGTCTATTAAATTAGATAGAAGAAAAAGCAAATGAAAGCGAATGCGACATCTCTCGAGAAGCATCGCGTCGTTGACTATTTTAGTCGTGCAGCATGCGGCGTGCAGCGTGTTGCAGTTGGAAAGCTCGTCGGTTAGCCGGCGAAGCTTCTTAAAGCGTGTCAAGCGCAAATCGCATACCAACACAGGAGCGCAGCGAGGGCCACTTAAGGCCTACTTTTTGCAGGAGCTCTCAGTTTCATTTAACTGTTGTTATTGTTATACTGTATTTTTTTGTTGGGGGCGCACGGCAAACTTGTTTTAGATTATATAGAAATTACGGATGACATCATTGTTTGTGCTCGTTTCTCAATGTGTGTGTGTGTGCGCGCTCTTAATGTGTTTGTTATTTTTTTATATATTTTTTTTGCTTTTTGCATTTTGTTAATTATAATTTATTTGTTGCCGCTACTAACTCTAGGGCGACCTTCGGCAGCCGCTTTGAATAATGAGCAGTGAAAAAAGAGAAAGAAAAAGTGATTGCCGCAGCGTAAATTGAGAATTTTTTTTAGTGTTTTATTGCCGAACCGACTTTAAAGTAAAGCAACTCCATTAGCAGGTTGTGTATTGCGCATGCTGATAAAACAAATTGTGGCAAATAAAATTTTTTTGCTCCACGTCTGACAGTCAATTGAATTTTAACGTTGTTTTATACCCTATCTCTATAAGGGTATTCCGATTTGTCTTGAAACGTGAGAATATCTGAAGTGCTACAGTCTGAAGATCTATTTATGTGCTTGTGAACAATATAGTCTCTCAGTTGTAAATCTATATTGACTAAGCTTTTTTTCATTCACCATATGTTAAAGTTCGCCAACTTAAATTACAATATTATTTAGCTGCCTTCAGACAATATATTAAGAATTACTTGTAGTATAAAAAATGGCTTTGTTCTTCACGACACTCTCGTCAACATTGACATGATATATAATGCTTCGACTAACGACTCTGGCAAGTGCTAAATCTACTTATCGGTTTATTGCGCTTGTGCAAGTGTATTTGGTGTTTGGCTTGCGGAATGAAGCCAATTATTGCGTGTCTGGCTACTACTTCAAAGCTTGAACTTACATAGTGCCATATGTTCAGATACCAGAGATACCATTTTCCTGGTACTCAGTCATGTATCAATGCTGGCCTTGTTGTATTTGCTTAATGCAAACAAATACAAAACTTTATGCACTTCTTGCGAAGGGTAATCACCCATGTCGAAGTAAAGCACTTTGAGAGTTATGGCCATATCCTCTGCACTCTATATCTGTCGTTTATATATTTTTTATGTATATTTACCGGGTATTGTTTGCAGTACGTTTGTATTCGTATATCTGTCTGACTGTGTGTGTGGCCCTCAATAATAGCGTCATTTCTATTTTCATAAAGGCTTGCTTTTGCTTTCTGTGTCGCTCTGTGTATTAATGTGTGTGTGATATGGTGTGCGCCTTGGTATGGGTAGTTGATAAATATAAAACTTAATGTTTTCAGAGCGCTGATAAGTCATCAAATGCCGGCATTCTTATTGTATTTCATTTTTGTTTTGATTTTTGGTGAATGAAACTGAATTCCACAACTTCGATTTATTTTTGGGCAGACACAAGGGCTCCAACCTGCAGATTAGAGAAATGTTAGACAAATATCCCTTAGTCGTGTAGCTATAAGAATTTAATGCGTAGGTGTCACAGCTAATTCTATTGGTATGTTATGAAAATAATTTTATAAAAATATTCTTTCGAACTCAAGTGTTTTCATCTTCATTATTTTAGTCCATTTTCGATTGACGATTTTATAATTTATTTACCATAATTTACTGCCGAAATCAAAAGGCCTTAAATCATATATCTGATTTAATTTTTTTATAACCAAAAATAAAAACAGTTAAAGTTCTATGGCACCGCCAACTTATAAACCAATCTTAATCAAAGACTCCGGAATTATTTTGCTAAATTTTTTTCACTGGTCTGCAAGAGGTTTCATACATAACTTAGGTTCTTATCGAAACACATTCATTACTGCCATAAAGCATTTGCAAATACACACAAGCACGGATACAGTCGCAGAAAAAAAGAGCTAGAGACCAGTTTTGAAAGTGAAAATGTGCGTGTAAATTCGTTCGTTATCTAATTTATTATAAATCTCGCAGTGCATTGAAGAAACGTCAAAATTAACTCAAGTGCCTATACCTACCAGTGCTGACTATGACTATGTCAAATTGAAAGAAACGCAAGATTTAGACATGCCTCAGCATAGATCGGGTCGCAAAGCGGCCCAAACTAAAACCAAAACCCAAAGCACAACTGTCCATGTGACAGAGGAAAGTGACTATGACTTCGCGTTCGAGTTTCAGGTAATACAATCCCCAATCTCCTCCGAAAATTTCCACACTCCCCTCAACAATCTCTCTCTCAATTGCAAAGTGTGACTACACAACTTTTTTTTTAAATTTTTGGCTAATGAGCAGTTTTTTCGTTTTCTTGGCTGGTTTAGCAATACGCTGAAAGTCTGCAGAAACCGCTCAAGACTTTTAGAGTTGACTTCAGTGCGGGCAGCGTGCCAACTGGCGATGGCTACGCTGCACGCCCGGATGATCTCTATACAACAACATATAGCACAACACAGTAAGTAAAGTTTCCATAAATTTCTATGAAATACACTCAACGAAACAATTCCACTTTTAATATGAAAATATTAAATATTTTGAATTAATTAACTTTGAAAAAATAGATTTAATTTGTGCTAGCCATAAATAACATAAATTTTTTTAATTTTGTAGATTCAGCTCAACGAAAACAACGAAAAGCTCTTCGAAGAGCATTTACAGCAGCGATGGCATCGATGCCATTGGACAGGAATCAGGAGCTGCACCACAGTCGCAAATACAATTCAACGAGATACGTAGCCTTAAGCGGGGAGGTAACATTACCTCTGTGCTGGATATTGCCGGCATACGTGATCCGCGCACGGGTCGAGTTTTAACTATTGGCGAAGCCATACAGTTGCGCATTTTGGATGTTCGCACTGGCGAAATGCTAGTGGGTGAGCGGCGCATATCCCTTGAGCAGGCCGCCGAGCAGGGTTTGATTGATGCGCAGCTGGCGATACAGTTGCTGCAGCCTGGTGCAGGACGAGATGCGACCGGACGTGAGCTCTCTTTGCTAGAGGTGATACAGCGAGAGATAAGCGAAGCGGAGTCCGGCTATGAGACGGCAGAGAAACGCATCAAGGTAAACAACACAGTCACAGTAGAGCAGTTGCCATTGCCAACGCAATCCCCATTGGATGTGGCATCCCCCGAGAAACCTAGAAATATTGTCGATGCCATTTGTGCTGGCAGTGTGGATGCCAAGACGGGCCTGTATCGTGTCAAATCGGGCCAAACAATTAGCCTGGCCGAGGCGTACGAACGTGGCTATCTAATACGCCACGAATCGGTGACAATTAAATCGAATGCGCTGTGTTTAAGCGATGCCATTGCTCATGGCCTGGTGGATAATGCTGGCTGGATAATAGATCGCAATTCTGGTGACAAGTTCCGTTTGGATTCGGCTATTGCCAATCAGCTAATCGATGCGAGCGTGCGCGAAGTAGTCGATGCTAAACGCGATGTAAAAATTACACTAGAAGACGCGTTAAAATCGGGCGTTTTGAATGCTAAGACCGGTCGCTATCTAAACGAGGTGACCAAAGAGAAGCTTAGCTTCTTCGAGGCACGCAATCGCCAATTGATTGTTAAACCGTATACTCTTAAAGATATATGTGATTTAAATTTGCTCGACAAACAATCCCTGATCACAAGTCCCATGCGCCGCGAAAAACTAAGCATTATGCAGGCTATCGAAGCGGGTGTACTGGATGGCAACCAGCTCAAGTGCATTACGAAACGTAAGGGTGAGTTAATCACATTGCAGGAAGCCATTGCCGATGGCATTGTGCTACCTGCGGAGTGTAAATATCGTGATTTTATGACTGGGGAATTAATTAGCATACCCGAGGCTGTAGAGCGTGGCCTGATAAGTTCGGTATCGCAGCGTTCCATTTTTGATATCGATGGTTTCAAGGATTTGCGTAGCAATGATTATGTTAGCTTTAATGTGGCCCTCTCGCGCGACATTTTACGTCGCAAGAGCACGGGCTTTGCCTTAGAGACAGGTCGGGATAGTCTAGTTCCACTAGAGGTGGCCGTTGGTGAAGGCCTGGTGCGGCAGGAGGTTTATGAAATGTTCAGTCGCGGTATTGGTGTGCACAATGCCAGTGGCAAGGAGCTCAGCGTTTTCGATCTGGTCTATCATAATCTAATTGACCCGAAGACTGGCTATTTGCTCGATCCTAAGACTGGTGAAACAGTGCCTCTAGACAGCGCCATCGAGCGCAAGTTCATCACACCCGAGGGTGCTCTGCTGCTGAGCAGCCTGCTTAATATTACGTTGACCACAGAGACAGTGACTAGGACGATCAATCGTTATGTGACCATACGTGCCGGCTCACAGGAGCCAGGTGATACAGTTTTACTGACCTTCACCGAGGCTGTGCGTCAGGGTTTCATTGATGAAGATAGGCAGCTATTCAAAGATCCCAAAACGGGAAATGTTTACTCTGTGCAGCAGGCGCTCAACTATGGGCTTCTAGTGCCCGATAGCAATCAAACGGTGCCAGAACCAACAAATCGCAAGAAGACCAAGTCAACCATAACAATAGTGACCAAACAAATAATACCCGAAGCGGAGCCTATTAAGCTAAACACCCAACATACAAAATATGTTGAAAAATCAGTGGAAATACCAATTTCTCAGGAATTAATCAAACCTCAACGCATTGTCTCGGAGTTTATTAATCTGGAGAAGAGCAGCTATTTAGAACAGAATGTTACAGAGCGTCAGATTATGGAGCTGCCACCCGGTGGTTGGCGTCTGAAGGATGCCATTGAGCAGCGTCTATTCAATCCAGACACAGGTGTGTTCCACGTACAGGGCACAGATCGTCTGGTAAACTTTGAGGAGTGCATAGATAAGCAGATTATTAACAATTTATCTGTGGCTGTTATCGAACCCAATACTGGCGATAAAATATCTGTAAAGTCCGCTTTTGAACGTGATATTGTGGACAGCTATGGCAACTATACAAACAATAGGCAACAAGTTCTGGGCATGCGAAGTGCCATCGCGGAAGGAAAAATTTTACTAGAGACGGTGCCAGCTACGCGTGGTGCCAGTCAGAAGACTATTTTGCGTATAACGCGCGTAAACAATATGCCCGATGTGTTGGAAGTATCGACACCATTGAAGGACTCGCCACCACGTTTCGTAGAGGTGAATACATGTCAGCGTGAGTTGGCATCACCGGAACCACTGCAAATAGCACCAGGTGCCATCTACGATCCGTCCACAGGGCTCGTCATATTTACACAAAACGGCGAGACGGAGAACATCTTTGACGCCGCGCGTCAGGGTCTAGTTGACGAGCAACTTATCAAAATTGTGGATCCCACGACTAAACAACAGATTTCGGTCACAGAAGCTATTGCTAGATCTATTTATGATCCACGCACAGCTACGATACTGGATGCCGAGGGACAACCGATTGATTTGATTACGGCTACTAAACTGGGTTTGTTCAGCGTGGTGGGTGCACCACTCGTAGCCGCTGAGGGTGCTCTGCGCACTGTTCGCTTTGTGGTTGATCCACGAACTGGTGAGCAGATACCGGTTGAGGTGGCCTACGAGCGTGGCATTGTATCGCGAGATCAACTGCAACGTGGACGCTCCTTTGATTATGAACCAACAACAACTTCAACAACAGAGGAGAAGGTTGTAGTGCTGCAAAAGATGCGCAAGCTTATATTAAAGCCGCGGGATGCTCTTCGCAAGGGTATACTCGACGAGGAGACATGTAATATACTTGAGGATACACGCAACTTTACTAATCCCCAAGGTGATGTTGTAAATATTAGCGAGGCCTTGAATACTGGTTTAATTGATGGACGCCGTGGTCACGTCACTGATCCTCAGCGTAATCGTGTGCTCAATCTGCGGCAGGCTGTCGAACAAAAGATTATTGATCCAGAACAAACAAATCATATTCTTATGCCACTGGCCAAAAGTCTGTCCATACCAAAACTTGAATCACAGGGTCTTATAGATCCACAGTCACAGACCATTGTACACCCGGAGAGCGGTTATCCCTTGAGTATACATGAGGCAATTGTTTGTGAAGTACTCGACCCACATTCCAAATTACACAAACCAACAAAGTGCACCCTGGAGGAGGCCATTGAAAAGGGCATTATCAATCCTGATGAATCTACATTCAACTATAAGAATAAAACCCTAAATATTTCGGAAGCCATCGAAGCTCATCTATTCGATGCAAGCTATGATAAGCAGAAACTCAAAGTAGAAATACCGCCCGTAGGCATGATATTCCCAGTTGCTGTAGAGAAGAGTCTGGTAGAGCCTACGAAGTCTGTCGTATTGCATCCAAGCACCAAGAAACCGGTGCCAATTAAGCAGGCTATCAATGATGATTTCATCATGTCCATACCCTATGCACCCAAACCGGATGCCATTGAGGTTGTACCTGCGCTGGAACGTGGTCTTATCGACGTGGCTGCCCAGACCTATACACATCCCACGACAAGCGAACGATTATCGCTACGACAAGCACTGGAGGATGGTGTGCTAGTTGTTAAGCGACTTTCCGACTTTGTTGTCAATCAAAAACCCATACCCAAGACAGAGGTCATGGAGACAATACGTGCGGTGCACACGGTGACCACTAAAACAATTGAACTTATGCAGGGTTACGTACTCATCTCCAATAATGAGGTACAAAATGTAAATACTGGTGAGGTGTGCAGCCTGGAGCAGGCTAAGGAGCTGGGTATACTACGCGAGGAAGAAACAACACGTGAGACCAAAGCCACAACTGGTGAAACAGCGGAGCAGTTGGCTACAATTTCAGTTCCAAGTGCCAAAGATCAGTCAGTGGTTGTCGAAGAGCGTACACAAACAGTTGTGGTCAGCTCAGATACTAGAAAACAAGAGCTGCAAGTAATAAGCACTACACAATCCACTAAGGAATCTCCTGAAAATGTTGTTAAACCCACCAAGGAAACATCCAAGACACTGCAAAATGTCAAGGAGGCAGCCAAAATGGGTGCATTGGGCGTCATTGCAGCTCCTGTGCTGGCAGGTGGTGCTATTGTCAGCGGCGTTAAGAGTCTAATTAAATCCGCCAAGTCCAACGCTGAGGAAGCGAAAACTATCACAACAACAACAACGATAACCAGTAACAAGGAAACAACATTGCAAACAGGGAAACCAGGCAAACCTCAAGTAAGTTTCATTGAAGAAGAGCGAATGGCAGTTGAGCAACAACCGGAAGCCTCATTAAAACAATTGCCTACTGAAGTAGATAACCTTCTTCAGGATACGGAGAAGTTTATAAGCAGCACAACAGCCAACTTTATATCTAATGAAAAGCAGCATTTGTCTAAGGATCAGCATATGCCAGAAGAAACTACCACAGCGTCCAGTTCAACAACAACAACAACCGTCACAACGATAACTACCTCAAAAACAACCGAAGCGAACGAAGCGCTGCCTGTCTTACCCAAAGAAGCATTACAAAAGGAAAAACAAGTCGACCAACCCAAGGAGAAAACGAAAGACAAGGAAATTATAGAGGAAAAACAAGAAGTTACGAAAGTTACAGAAACCATTCAAACAGCAACCAGCGAAAAGCTGCCACACACTGAACCACAAAATGAAAAATTGATAAAGCAGCCAAAGGAGACATCCGAAGTTGCGGAAACCCCTGATGAGAAACAAGAAATCACTAAAGTGACGGAAACCGTTTCTACTATATTCCGAGAAGAACCAGTCCAACCCCAAAAGGACTCGCCAAAGCCAGCTCAGAGAGAACAAACGCCAGAATCAGCTGCCAAGGCAGAACCTGCTGACAAACATGAGCCAGGCGCCAAGCCGGAGCCTGCACCGAGGAATACTGTTAGTATGGAAGTAACCGAACTGGAGCCACTTTACACAGCACCACTTGCGCCTTTCCAGGAGACGGTTACTAAAGTAACGGAAACCGTAAAAGAAGAACCACTTAGCACGGAATCACAAAGCACTGTCACAACTATCACAACAAAGGTAATAACAACGAAAACTTCCGAACCAACTGTACAAGAAGTAACGAAAACAATAGTGTCGAGCGAGGAGACACCTGAAAAACTGGTTGAGGGCTCTGAACAAGTGCCAAAGGAAGTTGAGAAACAATCAAAACCCATTGAATCTTGTAATGTTTCGGTAGAGGAGCGAGTTGTGACTGTCGAGCAACCTATCACCACTGAGTCTACAACGACTAGAACTACCACTACAACAACAATAACAACCACAACTGAAGAGTCAACCCCAAAAGAAGTTGTCAGTACAACAGAAGAGATAGAGAAGTTGTCTAAGGATGAACCGGTTGCACCCAAAGAAGTGACTGTGGTTGACATAAATGAGCAAACTAAAAAGGAAGACTCGCCTCTTAAAGAACCAACTGTACTTGTCACAGAAGATACTCAAGAGCAGCCTAAACAACTGCCTTCCACCAAGGAAACTATTGTGACCGTCACAGAGGAGACCACAGAAAAGCCTAAGGATACAGGTCCAGAGCCAATTGTAAGCACTCGTACCACAGAAACAATCACTCGAGATACTTCTGTAACATCACATCAGCAACAACCTGGAGCTCTTGAAGAAATTAGGCAACATGAAAATTCGACAGATAAACACCAAACAGTTGTCGATTTCATACAAAACGAGAAGAGTCAGCAACCTGCTGGAGACAGTGGCACCAAGATAATGCAGAATGTCAAAGATGCAGCCAAACTGGGCGCGCTAGCTATTGTGGGAGCACCCATCTTAGCAGGCAAAGCTCTTGTTGATGCGCTTACTACAGATAAAGTTACTAAACCCACACAGGAAGTTACAAAAGTTGTCACGCAAGCCGGACAAGAACTCACACCAACACCGATCGAACCTGACAGCTCTTCAAGTAGTACAACAATTGTGACGAAAATAACAACGACCACAACAACAAAAACTAGCAGCATTGAGTCCGCACCCGATGATGAAGCACGCGATACAGTGGAAACAGAAGTCAGTACATTGGAGCACACAAGTAATCGCGAAGTACCTATGACGTTGGCGATTGGTGATGCTATATCACAGAAATTGATCAGTCCCGAGGAGTGTAAAGTCATATTGGATGGTGAACCACGTTCGGAAAGTGTGTCCACACTGCTCAAGGAAGAACAACTTAGTCCTTTGGATGAGCTGCAAATCATAGATGATACCTTGATTGTTGTAAACCGGATCAATTATCTGGTGGATGTGGATACCGAACTGACGCCTGAAAACTTCAGTGAATTGAACATTTACGATCCAAAACTTCAATGTTTCATAGATCCCTCGACTGGTCAGAAAATTTCTTTCCAAACACTTGTGTTTGACATGAATATCTTCCATCCCGATAGAATACTAGTGAAGAACTTTAGCAAAGGGAAATATGAAACCCTGGCAGTTGCACTTGAACGTCCTTTGATGGATAAACACACGGGTCATATGGTCGATCCCAAGACAGGCAAGAAAATACCATTTTTTGAGTGCATTGAACGTCATTGGATAATAACTGCCAATCCCGAAGAGCAGCGACCCGCAGCCATTGAGAATGTTATCATAGACCACCGGTCAGGCAAAGTGGTGCTTGACGATGGTCAAGTTTGCTCCATTGTTGATGCTATCAACAGTGGCAAACTGGACATACAGTCGATATCGGTGCGCGACCCAGTTAGCGGTGAGGTGATCCCATTGCGTATGGCAATTGAGTTGGGTGTGGTTGATATGCAGGCTGGTACGGTCATAGATATACAGACATTGAAAGAAATACCCATGGAGCTGGCTTTGCAGTTGGGTTTCTTGGTGCCCGGCGCACGTAAGCCAATTTCCCTTGAAGCAGCTGTACGCAAGGGTCTTTACGATCCGGAGACTGGTAAACTTTACGATTCTGAGTCTCAAAATCAGGTAGATGTTCAGAAGTCCATTGAAATTGGTTTGGTTGATCCCAAGATTTCGCTGATTGTGGATACAGTCACCAACAAGGAGCTGAAGCTCGACTGCGCTATTGAGGATGAGCTGGTGCTCACAACGGGCCAGATTAAGGATAACAAGAATAACACTCTTGTGCCGTTTGATGTGGGTGTTGAGCAGCGTTTGGTGAAGACCGACAATGTAACCTGGAGCCTGCCCGAGGTGCTGCAGCGTGAATATTATACACCCAGCACGGGTAAGGTGTTGAATCCGGTTACGGGGGAGGATATTCTGCTACAGCAGGCTATTGAAATGGGCTTTGTTGAGTTGGATTCCACGTTGGTTAAGGATACTGATAATGATAAAATTGTGCCGGGCAAGGAAGCTGCGAAGGTGGGTCTTCTAGATACAGTGCGTGGCACTCTTAGCTCGCCGAATATTAGTCTAGACGAGGCCTTTGTCAAAGGTTATCTTATAAGTACTAAGAAACCTTGGTCCCTTGTCGATTGTCTGCTGCGTGGTCTTTACGATCCTTTGACAGCTAAATTCAATATTGACGGCAAAGAGCTCGACCTGAAGACGGCCATTGCACAGAAGCTCATCAATCCCGAAGAGCTAGTGCTACTGGATCCCAAAACTGAATCCATTATTTCTTTGAATGAGGCCATTGCCAAGGGCTATCTGGATCCAGTTGGTGGCTTTGTCATTAATCCGTATGCATCAACAAAACTCTCTCTACACGAAGCTCTCGAGAATCGCATACTTATTCCGCCCAAACGAAAACGCAGTCTGCCCGATGCTGTCTATAGAGGTTTATACGATCCCAAGACCGGCCAGTTTAGCAATACGATCACGCGTGAAAAACTGACAACTGAACGTGCCATTCGTAGGGGTATACTCGATCCCGATTCGACGGTCGTCAATGTTTCTGGTCAAGTTGTGCCGTTTGGCGTGGCCACCGAGAAAGGCATTGTGGACAGTCAACAAGGCACAGTTTTGGATGCAAATGATCAGCATATTGATTTTAAGGAAGCCTTCGATAAAGGTGTGCTGGTGGAGGCTAAGAAACCCCTGCGTCTCATTGAGGCTGTTGTCAAGAATATTTACGATGAAACTGATGGTCACTTTATCGATCCCAAGTCTGGTGATAAACTAAACTTTGCTGAGGCATTAAATACCAATCTGATAGATGAACATAGCGTGCAGATCCGAGATTTTAAGAGTGGTTTGTATAAACAGCTCAATTTGACGCATGCCAAAGACACAGGTCTCATAGATCCCCAGAATGCCAAACTACTTTATAACAACCAGTCAGTGACCATAAAGCATGCGTTTAACATTGGCATTCTTATGGATGTGAATGCGCCCATAAGCGTACAGCGTGCCATTCATCAGGGTCTCTTCGATGATAAAACTGGTAAATTGAGTGACCCCAAGACCGGACGTAAAATTACTTTATTGGAGGGTATGCGGAGCTTCGTAATTAATCCACAGTTGCCATGCTACTTTGATGAGCAGTCGGAGCAAATGCTTAGTCTCAGTGAGACTTGTCGCAATGGCATTATTAATAGAAGGGAGGGCGTCTTTAAGGAACCAGGTAGCTCCAGCTTTGTGCCTCTTGGTGAGGCTATGAACTTGGGTTTGATTGTGGATATAGAAAATGCTGGCTTTGGGCTATATGAGCTCTTGGCCATGGGCTTTTATGATGTAAGCTCAGGACAAGTTTTACATCCGGTAACCAACCGAAAACTGAAACTTAATGAAGCCTGTGTCGAGGATGTCGTCAGTCTATCGTCCAGTTTGGTTAAGCATAATGAGTCGGGCAAGTATATGCGCCTAGCAAATGCCATTAAGGAACAGGTTATTGATGATACGAAGGGTTGCTATAATTTGGGTACGGAACAATTAAATTTGCAGACAGCTAGAGCACGCGGCTTAATCGTCTCGAACCGTCGTTTACTGAGCCTCGAAATGGTTCTGCGCATGCAGCTTTATCGATCCGAAACAGGGAAATTCTGTGATCCCACAACTGGCGAGTACCTCGATTTAATTGAAGCTATAAACTCAGGCTTCATTGATCCGGCCAGTACCGTTTTTAAGAATCAGTTAACGGGCAAGGAGTTAGCGCTAACGGCAGCTATAGAAAATAGTGACATAGATGTAACTAAGGGCCGCGTTTTTGATCCGAAATCCAAATCTACATACAATTACGATGTAGCCTTCGCGCGTGGCATACTCGTGACTGTACCGCGTCCTCTAACCGATCGCAGCGAAATCGTACGTCGTCAGGATAGCGTTGAACTTTTAAGTCAAACCCCCGTGAGCGTTGTCATCAGTAAACCCCGCGAAATGTCTCTTGAGGAAGCTATCAAATATAATATAATCGATCCAAAGACCGCACTCGTACGAGATTTTGATAGCTTTAAATTTCTGCCATACGCTTTGGCCCAGGAACGTGGTCTTGTAGATGTCACTAAGCGCACGCTCGTTGATCCTAAAGCCTTATACTTTGCATTTGATCCTACGCTGTTGATCTATGTGCGGGAACCCGTTACATTCGATCAGGCGGCCGAATCCAAGTGCTTGGATCTTCAAACCGGTATGTTAACCTATCAGCCAATAACTCCTGCCAGCGACGATAGCGCAAACGATTCACTAACTGTCATCGACACGTCGCCTAAGATATACACGCTAAAGGATGCCGCCGGCACTGGTATTATTGATCCCGATTCAGCGTTGGTCAAAGATGTGGCCAAAGAGAAACTTGTGCGTTTACCAGAGGCCTTCCGCAAGGGCCTGATGGATGCCAATAAGGCGAACGTATTAAATACCCAAACCTCAAAGCTATGCACACTGCAGGAGGCCTACGAAAGTGGCTTGATCTGTACACCTAAGCGTTCATTTGGTTTGCTAGAGGCCATCACATTTAACCTGTACAATCCAACCAATGGCTGTCTAGTTGATCCCTTCCAAATGCATCCCGATATCATCAAGCGTAAAAAGTATACATTGGCCGAGGCCATTAGTGCCGGCCTGATCGATCCCTCCTCGACGGTGGTACGTGATCCCAGCTCAGGTGTCATCTTACCACTGGCCGCTGCTATAGGCAGTGGCCTAATCGATGCCACTGAAGGTCGCCTGAACGATGCCAATGAGCCCAAAAATAACATCGATTTGGTGAAAGCCACCGAGAAGGGTTTACTGCTGCCAGCCGAACAGAGGGTAAGTTGCACAGAGTTATTCTGCACCTGTGTCTATGTGTTCTAAAGGGTTTTTTCATTACTTTCCAATCTTCAAAAATTTAATAAAAACCAAACTCGAAAAATCACAACAAAAATTTATAAACAAAATTTTACAACGCTTCGTGGCATGTTTCTTTTTGGTATATTTATATATATATAATTTTCTATAATAATTATTTTTCGAATTTTCTTTATATACTTTTTGATCACTGCGCTCTTTACTCTCTTTCTATCATCGGACTAACTAACAGCTCTGTCTGCTTATCTAAAACGAAAACTGAAACATTTTAATTTGCTAATCATATTTATGATTATATTATTATTTTATTTTGCTTGTCCTGAAAAATGGACAAAATTTTTCTTATATTGCAGCGCATGGCATTGAGTTTTATATGTTCTCGTTCACAAAACACATCAATTAAATCAAATCAAATCTATCGCATAACTTTTTAAAAATGAATCAACTAAGTTTGCTGAGCTTGCTTTTAAGACTTTCTCAAGTTATGAATGCAGCAAGAAATATGTCTGTCAGCAGTACTACATACAACATAATCACAACACAGATCGATTGTTATCATATCAGACAATATTAAAATCAATCATCAAATTGCTTGATCTGGCAAACGCAACGCAACGCGCGTCTCCATTACTCTCCATAACTACTCAGCACGAATGACGTCGGCAATAATTTATTTATAATCTTTCTCTCTCATATACATATCTATCGATAACACAAAACATATACGTACATACACATATACTTTAACAAACATATACTTTTATATTCTTAGTTCTCGTAAGCCCCGACTAGGCAGCATATTCTTTAGGTTCACTCCTAACCATACCAAACTGTAACGATGTAGAGTCTATTTGTAAAACTTAACAACACTTTTGGATATTATATGCAATTTATCCTATCCTAATACTTTTTCAATTCTTCTTTATTTAGTTTTTTTTTTATTCTAAGGCTCAACATTTTTATATATATTTAAAGTATTTTAGCTCTTGTAGAGTTTGCTTACGTTACAGTTTGGTCGGACTACAGATGCAATAAGATCTGGCAAATGTAGCCCTTTTGCTAACCATAACTTGCTCTTAGCTTACCTCAAATTAGCCAGTATTATTTAGTATTTATTTTTTATATATGCAAATATTTTAAATATCGATTTTCTACCTATTTTCAGCATTTTATACATAAAATTATTCTTATATTATTTCGTTTGCAGTTTTAATTTTTTGAGTATGCTCAAACAACACAAAAAAAAAAGAAAAAATAATATAAACCCAAATCTTAACACTAATCTCAAAACAATAATACTCAACAACAACAAACAAAACCCATTAAAACGTAGTTAGTTTCCCATACTAAAAAGTATAAAACTGTTTTAGTTTTCCCAGTCCAAAAGTAGTGCTCGTTAATTATTTAGTAGTGCCTAGTAGTAAACCCTGGTGTTATTTTGTGCGTCCTTTAACTATTATTCATATTTGTTATGTTTTTGTACTATAAAATGCTTAAAAGCCTAAACTAACGTATCATAACTCTTGCTTGGCCTATAAAATGCTTTCAAAAAAACTTTGCTTTTGCTTTTGCCGCCGCTTAAGCTTTTTATATTTCAGCAATTGTATGTTTGTGTGTTCTATATATATATTTTGTGTTACATATCTTATGCCTTTCGATTATATACTATTTATATACGAAATTCTTTTACAAATTTTCATTTATGCTCTATCTCCATATATATATTTTACCCCCAAGTATGAAATATTTAAGTATGAACCTGTAACTGGTTAAGTTATGTCTTTCACTTAAAACTTTACTAATTATGTTCTTTTACCATCATTATCAAACATTACATTTTGATATACAGCAAGCAGTATTCGAGAAGTTCAATATGTGTGAGGAGAATGTAAACGATCTGCTTAAATGGGTCACCTCAGTTGAACAGAAAATTTCGAGCGTTGGCGGACCACGTGAAAAAATCGATGAGCTACGCAATCAAATCAATGCACTCAAGGTAACATATTCTTAAACTATAATATACAAATGGACCTTTTACCCATTTCCTTTACATCTTATAGCTCACTTGTTATATACAGTGTTTCCCTATTTAACCTGTATCTTCTTTTTATAGCAAATCAAGGATGAAATCGAATCACAGCAACGTCCTGTAGCTACCTGTCTGGAGCAAATACGTCAAATTGTTCTCACTGGTGGGGATGTGCTCTCTGCACCGGAGGTCACCACTTTGGAGAACTCTGGCCGGGAATTGCGTTCACGTGTAGATCGTGTCAATGATCGTACAGTGCGTCTACTGCGTCGCCTTGAGGCTGGGCGTGATGAGCTGACCAAGTTGCGCAGCGAGTTAGATATCTTTTCCGACTGGCTGCAGCTGGCACGTCGCACGCTCGAAGATAAGGAACGTTCGCTGTCAGACCTTACGCGACTCGCTTCGCAGGCAGACACCATTCGTGAGTTTGTGAGCGATGTGATTGGTCACCAGGCGGACCTACGTTTTATCACAATGGCCGCACAGAAGTTTGTTGATGAGAGCAAGGAGTTTTTGGCTGTACTCAACGATTTCCGAACCTCACTGCCAGAGAGACTGCCCCATGTGGAGCCATTGTCTAGTGCCGAGAGTCCCATACGCCAGGAAGTGTCGCTGGTATCAGCACAGTACAAGGATCTGCTGAACCGTGTCAATGCGTTGCAAGATCGCGTCTCTGGCTTAGGTGGCAGGCAGCGTGAGTACCAGGATGCATTGGATAAAGCCAATGACTGGTTGCGTAGCGTTCAGCCCCGTGTTTCTCGTGTTATATCTGAACCTGTCGCTGGAGATCCGAAGGGCGTACAAGATCAGATGAATGAGGCTAAGGCATTGCACAATGAACTTTTGTCGAGCGGTCGTCTTGTGGACAATGCTCAGCAGGCTTTAGATAATCTATTGCGCAGTCTAGGCGGTCAGCTCAGTCCTATGGAGATCAATCAACTGGAGTTGCCCATAGCTGATTTGAAGAACAACTACCAACAACTGTTGGATACGCTTGGAAACCATTGCAAGACCTTGGATAAGACTCTGGTGCAATCGCAGGGCGTACAAGATGCTCTTGATAGCCTGGTGGGCTGGGTAAATCAAGCCGAGGATAAGTTCAAGATGAACTTGCGTCCTGCTTCGCTTATCAAGGAGCGTCTTCAGGAGCAGATACGCGAGCACAAACTGCTCTTGGCTGATTTGCAATCGCATCAGGCCAGCATTGATAGCGTTCAAATCTCTGCCAAGCATCTGCTAGCCAGTGCCTCCAATGCACGTATAGCCAAGAAGGTTGAGTCAAATTTGAACGATGTAACGGGCAAGTTTGAAAAACTCTTTGAGAAAGCTAACAAACGTGGTGAATTCCTGGATGATGTATACAGTCGCCTCTCCAAGTACCTGGATGATATTAGTACCGTGGAGCAGCGTATGGGCAGCTTGCAGGAGGCCCTGGATAGCCGCGAAACCAGTCTGCTCTCCACAGAGGAGGTGGCACGTCGCATGCTCGACTTGGCCCGCGAAAAGGACCAGTTGGCACCAGAGTTTGAGGATTGTGTGCGTAACGGCAAGGAACTGATAGGGTTGCGCGATGTGACTGATACGGGCGCTTTGCGTGACCGTATCAAGGCTTTGGAATCTCAGTGGCGCAACATTAACATCAGCATAGATGAGCGCGCTAAGCTGTCCAAGCAGAAGGCTGAACGTCGCTTGGCCTACGAGAGTCTTAAGGACGAGGTCTTGTCCTGGTTGAGCACCACAGAAGGACGTGTTAATGGACTGGCACCAGTAGCCATTGATCTGGACAAGATACGCCAACAGAACGATGAATTGAAACCTATCTGCAAGGACTATCGTGACTATGCGCCAACTATCGACAAGATCAACGATATTGGCTCCCAATACGATGCACTTGTTCGCCCGGAAAGTCCCTCGCGTAAACGGTCAACGTACAGTCCTATTAAGAGGACAAGTCCGCTGCGTCGCATGTCTGGAGATGCCAGAAGCCCCAGCCCGACCAAGGGAGGCATACTGTCGCCACTATCGACTGGTTCCAGTGGATTCGGTAGCCGCAGATCCTCTCAGGATGGCTTTCAGCTCTCTGAGCTGTCTCCGGTGCAGCAGCAGTTAAGCGAGATTAACAATCGCTATGGTTTGATTGGAGTTCGTCTGAATGACCGTCAGCATGAGCTGGATAATCTCAGCGAAGAATTGCGCAAGCAGTACGAAAACCTTAAGGGATTGGCGCAATTCTTGGAACGTATCCAACGACAGGTGCCGAAAGAGTCAGTATCCAACAAAGATGAGGCCGATCGCTGCATTAAGCAGGCGCGCAAGATCCTTGAAGATATGTATGAAAAGCAGAGTTTGTTGGACACCACAAAGGCACAGATTAAAGACATTCTGCGACGTAAATCGGATGTTCCCGGCGCCGAGCAATTGCGTGTGGAGAACGACAACATTCAGGAGAAGTGGAAGAATCTCAATGACATCTGCAAGAATCGCATTGCCTTTTCAGAGAAGTTGCGTGACTTCCTGGACACCCATGGTAATCTCAAGAGCTGGCTAGACAGCAAAGAGCGAATGTTGACTGTGCTAGGACCCATTTCTTCGGATCCACGCATGGTTCAGAGCCAGGTGCAACAGGTGCAAGTATTGCGCGAAGAGTTCCGCACACAACAGCCACAACTGAAGCACTTGCAGGAGTTGGGACACGACGTTGTAGATCATTTAGCCGGCACACCCGATGCTCAGGCAGTGGAGGTTAAGCTCAGGGATGTGATTACCAAATGGGATGATCTAATGGGTAAGCTGGATGATCGCGCTAATAGTCTAGGCGGTGCTGCCGATAGCTCAAAGGAGTTTGATGCGGCTGTCAATCGTCTGCGTGAGGCTCTGCAAGGCATTAGCGACAACCTGGATACGCTGCCAACCGAAGGCGATCACCAAGAGAATCTGCGGAAGATCGAGAACCTTGAACGGCAGCTCGAGGGTCAGCGACCACTTTTGGCTGACGTAGAGCAATCCGCAGCCACATTGTGCAACATCCTCGGCGACCCCGCCTCTCGAGCTGATGTTAACTCACGTGTTGCAGCCCTGGAAAAACAATACTTGGCATTGCAAAAGAAATTGGATACGAAGAAGGCTGAAACGGAGGCTTCATTACGTGACGGTCGTCACTTTGCTGAGAACTGTTCGAAGACGCTCGGCTGGCTATCCGGCGAGCTGTCCAACTTAACCGATCGTCTGCTCGTATCCGCCCACAAGCCAACACTGCAACACCAGATAGACACACACGAGCCCATCTATCGTGAAGTTATGGCGCGTGAGCATGAGGTCATAATGCTAATCAACAAGGGCAAGGATCTGTCCGACCGTCAGCAGGATCGCGGTGTCAAACGTGATCTGGATCGCATACAACAACAGTGGGAGAAACTGCGTCGTGAGGCTGTCGATCGCCACACGCGTCTACAGACATGCATGGAACACTGCAAGAAGTACTCACAGACCTCAGAGACCTTCCTTGCTTGGCTGCGTACAGCAGAAGATAAGTTGTCGGATCTAACGCCTGGTGTACTTTCGAAATCGAAATTGGAGACACGTCTGCGTGATCTGCAAACTTTCCGCAGCGAGGTTTGGAAGCATTCGGGTGAATTTGAAAACACCAAAGGTCTGGGTGAAACATTCCTCAGTAGCTGTGACATTGATAAGGAGCCAATCAAGGCTGAGCTGCAGGACATACGCGATCGTTGGGAGCGTCTAAATAATGATTTGATTGCACGCGCTCATGAGATTGAGAACTGTTCGCGCCGCTTGGGTGACTTCAATGATGAGCTCCGCAACCTGGATCACTCATTAGGCCGTTGCGAGGATCGCCTGGCCGCACACGATGCGCTGGGCGGAGCTGCCAAAGACCCCAAGCTGCTGGAACGCGTCAAGGCTATTCGCGAAGAGTTGACGAACCTGAGCAAACCATTGCAAACGCTTAAGGCGATGGCAAAGGATATTAGTGCCGAGGCACGTGCGGCCGGCGGTGATGCGGATCATTTGACCAGTGAAGTTGATGGATTAGCTGATCGCATATCGGAGTTGCAAGGTCGCTTAGATGATCGCTGTGGGGAGCTGCAATCGGCTGCAACAGCTGTATCCCAGTTTAACGAGCAGATGAAGAGTCTGGGAATTGATCTGAATGATCTGGAGGCTGAGGTTGAGAAGCTGTCGCCACCCGCACGTGAGATTAAGATTGTGCAACAGCAAATCGATGATGTGGGCAAGCTTCAAAATAAATTGGATCGCCTAGTCGGTCGCTTGGAGGATGCCGAGCGTGCCTCTGATGTTCTTGTGGACGCCGGTTTCTCTGCGGATACTACCCAGACTCGCGAGCAAATCTCCACGCTGCGCAAGACACTAGGTCGTCTGGATAATCGTGTGCGTGATCATGAAGATAAGCTACAGGACACACTTAAGGCCTTGCGAGAGTTTTATGATATGCAGTCACAAGCCCTGGATGATATTCAGGACGTGAGCGAGGAATTCAAGCGCATGAAGCCTGTGGGCTCCGAACTGGATCAGATCAGACGCCAGCAAGAGGACTTCCGAAACTTCCGAGAACGCAAGGTGGAGCCCCTGGCTCATAATGTGGACAAAGTCAACATGTCCGGACGTGATCTGGTGCGCTCGGCTGCAAGTGGTGTTTCTACGACTACAGTTGAAAAGGATTTGGAGAAGCTGAATGACCGCTGGAACGATTTGAAGGAGCGTATGAACGAACGCGATCGTCGTTTGGATGTGGCTCTCCTACAGTCCGGCAAGTTCCAGGAGGCCCTAGCAGGTCTCTCAAAATGGTTGAGCGATACCGAAGAAATGGTAGCTAACCAGAAGCCACCAAGTTGCGACTACAAGGTAGTCAAGGCGCAGCTGCAGGAGCAAAAGTTCCTCAAGAAAATGTTGCTGGATCGTCAGAACTCTATGGGATCATTGGCCAATCTCGGCAAAGAGGTGGCTAATCATTGCGAGCCTGAAGAACGCGCTTCCATTGAGAAGCAGCTGAATGATCTGATGAAGCGATTCGATGCCTTGACTGATGGTGCCGAACAGCGTGAACAGGACCTGGAAGAGGCCATGGAGGTGGCAAAGCGTTTCCATGACAAGATTAGCCCACTGGAATTATGGCTGGATAATACGGAGCGTGCCGTTAAAGCCATGGAATTGATACCAACGGATGAGGAGAAGATACAACAACGCATTCGGGAGCATGATCGTCTTCACGATGAGATTTTGAGCAAGAAACCCGACTTTACGGATCTTGCTGATGTGGCTGCCCAGCTGATGCATTTGGTGAGCGATGAGGAAGCCGTTAATCTGGGCGAGAAGGTACGCAGTGTGACCGAACGCTATACAGGTTTGGTAGATGCCAGCGAGAATATTGGGGCTTTGCTTGCCGAATCCCGTCAAGGGTTACGCCATTTGGTGTTGAGCTATCAGGATTTGGTTGCCTGGATGGAGAGCATGGAGAATGAGCTTAAGCGTTTCAAGTCCGTACCAGTGTATGCCGATAAGCTGTTGGAACAAATGGACCACCTGCTAGAATTAAACGAGAACATTGCAGGACACGCAAATAATGTAGAGTCCACCGTTGAATCCGGCGCAGAGCTTATGAAGCACATTTCCAACGATGAAGCCATACAACTGAAGGACAAGTTGGACTCACTGCAACGTCGCTATGGCGATTTGACTAATCGTGGAGGTGATCTGCTCAAGAACGCTCAAAATGCTTTGCCATTGGTACAGCAGTTCCATGAGGCTCACAACCGTTTGGTTGAATGGATGCAGAGTGCCGAAACCGCATTGGCGCCAAGTGAGCCACGTCAAGCTGATGTCTTGCGTCTAGAGACCGAGCTATCCGAAATGCGTCCTATACTGGACACCATTAATTTGGTTGGACCACAGCTGTGCCAGTTGTCACCGGGAGAAGGTGCCGCTACCATTGAGAGCATTGTTACCCGAGATAACCGTCGGTTCGACGCCATCGTGGAACAAATTCAGCGTAAGGCCGAGCGATTGCATTTAAGTAATCAGCGTGCTAAGGAGGTAACCGGTGATATTGATGAGCTGTTGGAGTGGTTCCGTGACATGGACACCACATTGCGCGAGGCCGATCTACCGGCTATGGAACCAAAATTGGTGCGTGCACAGCTGCAAGAGCATCGGTCCATCAATGATGACATCTCCAGCCAGAAGGGACGTGTTCGTGACGTGACTGCCGCTTCCAAGAAGGTGCTGCGTGAATCGCCACAAAGCGAGAATACCGCAACACTTCGTGAGAAGCTGGACGATCTGAAGGAGATTGTAGACACAGTTGCACAACTGTGCAGCGAACGTCTGGGCATCTTAGAACAAGCTTTGCCGCTTTCCGAGCACTTTGCTGATTCTCATTCGGGTCTGACCACCTGGCTGGATGATATGGAACAGCAAATCTCTCGTCTGAGCATGCCTGCCTTGCGTCCTGATCAGATCACCTTGCAGCAAGACAAGAATGAGCGTCTGTTGCACTCCATAGCCGAGCATAAACCACTGCTCGATAAGCTGAATAAAACTGGTGAAGCTCTGGGTGCTTTGGTTGCCGAAGAAGATAGCGCCAAGATCAATGAGATTCTTGACACGGACAATGCCCGTTATGCAGCACTGCGTTTGGAACTACGCGAACGCCAACAGGCGCTGGAAAGTGCCCTGCAGGAGTCCAGCCAATTCTCCGATAAGCTGGAAGGCATGTTACGTGCTCTTGCCAACACGGTCGATCAAGTGAATCAATTAGATCCACTCTCAGCACTGCCCCAGAAGATTCGTGAGCAAATCGAAGACAATGATGCTCTTATGGATGATCTGGATAAACGTCAGGATGCATTCAGCGCTGTGCAGCGTGCTGCCAATGATGTAATTGCCAAGGCTGGCAACAAAGCTGATCCCGCTGTGCGCGACATCAAGGCCAAACTGGAGAAACTGAACAATCTGTGGAATGATGTGCAGAAGGCCACTAAGAAACGTGGCAGCTCCCTGGATGACATACTCAGTGTAGCCGAGCCCTTCTGGAAGCAATTGAATAGCGTCATGAAGACTCTCAAGGATCTAGAGGAGACGCTGTCCTGCCAGGAGCCACCAGCGGCACAGCCGCAAGACATCAAGAAGCAACAGGTGGCACTACAAGAGATACGCCACGAAATTGATCAGACCAAGCCAGAGGTGGAGCAAGTGCGTCGCCATGGCAGCAATTTGATGAACATGTGCGGTGAACCCGATAAGCCAGAAGTGAAGAAGCACATCGAAGATTTGGATAACGCCTGGGATAATATCACCGCACTGTATGCTAAACGTGAAGAGAACCTCATCGATGCGATGGAGAAGGCAATGGAATTCCATGAGACACTGCAGAATTTGCTCAAGTTCCTCACCAAGGCCGAGGATAAGTTTGCTCATTTGGGTGCTGTGGGCTCCGATATTGATGCTGTCAAGCGTCAGATTGAACAGCTCAAGGCGTTCAAGGACGAAGTCGATCCGCATATGGTCGAAGTAGAAGCATTAAACAGGTAAGTCTCGTATTTCTTCAAAATTAATTGAAGTACAATTCTCATATCTTATAATCTATATAATAATAATGATATATCAACGACGTATTTGTGTGGTCTACCTTCAATCGTACAATTGGCAGAGGTCTCGAAAGGCAAGATAGTTTCAAAATTTCGTACGTTCTTTATCGTTCGTTCGCTGTTATTGTGTACTTTTAAGTGCCTGTGCATTGTAAGCTGTAACTTTTGTGATATTTCATCAAGGACTTGTGATGTCTTATCTACAATTGCCAATCTGTGATCAAGGATCTGTGATCTCTAATCACGAATATGCGATCTTTGGTTTACGATATGTAATGTAATATTTATGATCTTGGATACATGATTTCGATCTGTGATCTCCGATTGGTGATATTTAAATTGTGATCTCAAATCTGTAATCTTTGAGTTGTTATTCAAGATCTCACGTTTGTCAGGTCACATTTGCTTTATGCATGTTTTCTTATGATTTACGCCGGAAAGCCACCGGAACCAGCGGTTCCTTAATTACCAATGCATGTGCACTGGCAAGACGCCACTTATAATTGTTATTGTTGTTCTGTCTGCATTTTAAATATCCGTTTTAAATAACCCGTGCTAATACTTCGCTAACTACTTACAGACAAGCTGTGGAACTGACGGAACGCACTTCGCCAGAGCAGGCGGCATCAATAAGGGAGCCACTGTCCGTGGTCAATCGCCGCTGGGAAGCTTTGCTTCGTGGAATGGTCGATCGCCAGAAGCAGTTGGAGCATGCGTTGCTCCACTTGGGTCAATTCCAACATGCGCTCAATGAGCTGTTGGTTTGGATTAACAAGACAGACAACACATTGGATCAGCTGAAGCCGGTAAGTCTGCCAAGATATAGCCTCTGAAAAAATCAAAATCTAACACACAATATTTCATGCAGATACCTGGTGATCCACAACTGCTCGAAGTTGAGTTGGCCAAGCTTAAGGTGTTGGCCAACGATATACAGGCGCATCAGAACTCGGTGGATACTCTCAATGATGCCGGACGACAGCTAATTGAAACTGAGAAGGGTTCCGTGGAAGCCTCCACTACACAGGAGAAACTGCGCAAGCTGAACAACGAGTGGAAGCAGCTCTTGCAAAAGGCTAGCGATCGTCAGCATGAGCTGGAGGAGTCTCTCCGCGAGGCTCAAGGCTACATTGCTGAAGTTCAGGACATTTTGGGCTGGTTAGGTGATGTAGATGCCGTGATTGGTGCCAGTAAGCCTGTGGGTGGCCTGCCAGAGACAGCGACCGAGCAGCTGGAGCGATTCATGGAAGTATACAATGAGCTGGAAGAGAATAGGCCTAAGGTAGAAACAATACAGGCGCAGGGCCAGGAGTACATTAAGCGCCAGAATCAGATGAAGGTTTCGTCTAGCAATCTGCAGCATACGCTGCGCACACTGAAACAGCGCTGGGATGCAGTTGTTTCGCGTGCATCAGATAAAAAGATTAAGCTGGAAATTGCTCTCAAGGAGGCTACCGAATTCCATGAGACTCTGCAAGCCTTTGTCGAATGGCTTACTCAGGCTGAGAAGCAGCTGACAAATGCTGAGCCTGTCTCGCGCGTGCTGGAGACTATTCAGGCCCAGATGGAGGAGCATAAGATACTCCAAAAGGATGTGAGCACACATCGCGAGGCCATGCTCTTGTTAGACAAGAAGGGCACTCATCTCAAATACTTCAGCCAGAAGCAAGATGTGATTCTTATCAAGAATCTGCTCGTCTCAGTACAACATCGCTGGGAGCGTGTTGTCAGCAAGGCTGCAGAGCGCACACGTGCTCTGGATCATGGCTACAAAGAGGCCCGTGAGTTCAATGATGCCTGGAATGGCATGATGCAGTACCTTCAGGAAACTGAGCAGGTGCTAGATCAAATCATCGAAGAAGCCACCGCTTCAAAGGAGCCGCAAAAGATTAAGAAATATATTGGCAAACTAAAGGAAACCCATCGCCAGCTGGGCGCCAAACAGTCAGTGTACGATGGAACAATGCGCACCGGCAAGAACCTCATGGAACGTGCACCGAAGGGCGATCGCCCTGTGCTTGATAAAATGTTATTGGAACTCAAGGAACAATGGACACGTGTCTGGTCGAAGAGCATTGAACGTCAACGCAAACTGGAGGAAGCCTTGCTGCTTTCTGGACAGTTTAGCGATGCTCTTGGAGAGCTGCTTGACTGGCTAAAGAAGGCCAAGAGTCGCCTCAATGAGAACGGACCAGTGCATGGCGATTTAGAGACGGTGCAGGGCTTGTGCGAGCATCACAAACACATTGAACAGGATCTGCAGAAGCGAGCTGGTCAAATGCAAGGCGTGCTCAAAACTGGTCGCGATCTGGAGCGTTCGGGCAACAATCCTGAAGTGGGTCGCCAACTGGATGAGCTGCAAACCATTTGGGAGGAGGTCCAGAATGCCGTAGGCAAGCGCGGAGAGCGACTCCAAGTCGCTTTGGTGGATGCTGAGAAACTTAACGCAAGTGTCCAGGCTTTGTTCGACTGGCTGGATCATGCGGAGCATAAGCTACGCTACGCCAAGAATGCACCTGATGATGAGAAGATCTCACGCGAGATGATGGAGATTCATACGGAGTTCATGCGTGATCTGCGCGTGCGCGAGCGTGAGAAGACCGAAACGTTTGAGTACGCAGAGGTGATAATTAGCAAAGCCTATCCCGATGCCATACCCATCATCAAGAACTGGCTATCGATCATTCAACAACGCTGGGAGGAGGTGCGTCAGTGGGCCATCAACCGCGAGTCGAAGTTGGAACAGCATTTGCAATCGCTCAAGGATCTGGATGATACCATTGAAGAGTTGCTCGCTTGGCTCAGCGGACTTGAGGGCACGCTATTGAGTAAGTTAATCAGACTAGTATCTATATGGTCGATTATTAATGTCTCTTCGTTCCCATAGATCTAAAACATGAACAACTGCCGGATGAGATACCCCCTGTGGAGAAATTGATTGAGGATCATAAGGAGTTCATGGAGAACACCGCACGCCGCCAGAACGAAGTGGATCGCGCATGCAAGCCACGTCAACTGCCACCTGGCGCTCGCAAACCTTCGCGTAGCGGCAAAACTCCAGTGTGAGTACTATAAAGTTGCACCCAAATTTTTGTATATACGAAAGATTTATTTTTATTTATTATTTTATTTTTTATTGCAATTTTTCACCAATTTTACTGCTAAAAATATCAAATATTTTCCCCTGCAACGTTTTGCACACAAACTCTTGCCTATCGTCTACCCAAAATACCACAAAAAAAAAAAAACAATACTCTACACCTTTCAACAACTACTCAATATATATATATATATATACAACTGTAGTCGTGGCTCCAGCCACGATCTGCGTGAACAGTCGCCCGATGGTCAGCTGCGACGTCAAAGGTTTGACAGCTACTTTATACTCTACATTATATATTGCAAGCCACAAAAAAAACAAATAAGTGGCGAATGTGCTTACCAACACTGACTCTCTCACACACGCACACATTACCAACTGGTTAAAGTTTGCATTTAGCTTAACCATTGCAACATTAAACATGTTATAAAACTCAAATAGCAGCCAATCATTTGCTTAACTATAACCTTAAGTTATTTCGTGTTCTATGTAGCGCTAAAATGTGCTAACATACGAAGTTTGCTGAACCTACATACAAATCCATATTTCATGCATATTTCTATTACAAACCATTTACCAATAATTACAAAGATAAGCTAAACACGTTCACTTTTAAGATGAGCTTCGAAATGTTGACTTTTGCGTTTCTCCCTTAACTATATAACTATAGCCAATCTTATCTAACGGTTTGCAAAATTATTGTAGTCATAATAATAACACCTTATATAGCCCTAAAAGGCATTAAGAACTTAGAATGAATCCCAAGCAAATCTACATTTAATATTTTTGAAAAGGTTAATAGTTTGTAACTATTGCCTGAATATAAATAATACCGTATGTAGCCATATTTGCTAACTTATCTATGTATAGTTAGTATTCTTTGCCACTTACCACACCACGTATTATTCACTACATCTCGCACACACACCGCCTCGTTCACAGCACCCGGCTTTCAACACTGCTGCTAAAACTGTTGCTTTATTTTGATTTTCTCCCAACCTTAAGGAGTAGTATAACTTGTCTAATATATGACTTTTACTCTCTTCCACAGCTTCAAGGGCTCGCGCGATCAAGGACTTAACGCTCGCAAGGGCAGGTGAGTTAATAGTCTGAGTCTCTAGACTGATTGTTAAATGGTTTCAAGAAATAACTGTGCATGCACTTTCAAAATGCTCAATGAAATTTCCTTTGTTTACTCTCAAAACTTTTTTTTCGGCTCTATGCAACACTATTTTTGGAAATGCTGCGACATGTTATTTATTTTGTGTATACATATATATAAATATATATACTATTGCCAATTTTTTTTTTGTACTGTAATTTTGTATTTGTTTATATTGTTTCGTTATTTGATCGTTTTTGTTTTTGTCTCTCTCTTTTGTCTCTTTTTTGTGACTCTACTTTCATCACGCTACGTAAACGTTGCCTCATATCAAATTCTATGCATCTTGCTGCTTAAATATTTGCTCTGCATCATCAATAAATCAATATTTCTACATATATATATATAAATATATAAAAAATATTTATTTATAAACATATGTATGTAAATATAATTGGCTGTACAGTCGTGTTACGCCCACGCGTGATACGCCAGACAGAGATCGCCTGCCGCACTATGGCCCACGTTTCTCGCCAAGGTAAGTGACCGACCGACCGATCGAACTTTCACTCATCATTTAATGCTCAGTGCAGCTCAAACTGTGCGCTTAGCTAAATGCTCTGTTAAGTATTTTGTGTATGTTAAGCATTATGTAGTTGAGCTCTCTTTTCGTTCATTGTGTACTCTGCTTCCCATAAGATATTTTAAATTTGTACTGATCCTTGTCAACTATTTTCAAGCAGCTCCAATGGTGGTGAATTGGAATTCCGTTCACCACGCGCCAAGCTCTTGTGGAACAAGTGGCGCGATGTCTGGATGCTGTCATGGGAGCGTCAACGCTTACTTCATGAGCATCTCATGTATCTGAAGGATGTGGAGCGTGCTCGTAACTTTAGCTGGGATGATTGGCGCAAGCGCGTAAGTAACCAGTTATGATCTAACCTATGTTCAATCAGTAACACTCGAAAATATCATACCTCATGTAGTTCCTCAAGTACATGAACCACAAGAAATCGCGCTTGACTGATTTGTTCCGTAAAATGGATAAGGATAATAATGGCATGATACCGCGGGATGTGTTTATCGATGGCATACTCAACACAAGTAAGTTCTGAAATCAAATTAGCTCTCAGAGTTTTTCTAATGGCATTTTCTGAACAGAATTCGATACGTCGGGTTTGGAAATGAAGGCCGTTGCGGATCTGTTCGATCGCAATGGCGAGGGTCTTATCGATTGGCAGGAGTTCATTGCCGCTCTGCGACCCGACTGGCAGGAACGTAAACCCGCCACAGATTCAGATAAAATTCACGATGAAGTCAAACGTTTGGTCATGCTCTGCACGTGCCGTCAAAAGTTCCGTGTGTTCCAAGTGGGCGAAGGCAAATATAGAGTAAGTCCAAATTAACTTCCAGTTTGCATATGTTAAACAGATCTTAACTGTTGTGTTGTTTCTTCACAGTTTGGTGATTCCCAGAAATTACGCCTGGTTCGCATCCTTCGCAGCACTGTGATGGTGCGCGTGGGCGGCGGCTGGGTTGCTTTGGATGAATTCCTGCAGAAGAACGATCCTTGTCGCGGTAAGTTGCACAACTCAAAACTCTTAATCACAAACGTTTTCAATATGAATATAATTTGTACACGTAATCACACGAAAATTATCAAGAAATCTTGTTCAATTTCAAACATTAATCGCATATTATTTCTAGTGTAACTTTTTGTAGTCCACCATACCACATTAAAGAAAAAAAATATAAAAAAGATAATCATAAATATTCCATTCCCATCTCAGCTCATGCATTTTGTCTATACCTTAGATTGTATATGCATCATTCTATTACAAACCCATTTTTGATCATATCTCATAATTCACATACATCGACTTAGGTACAGTTGTGCTTAACAACTAATTATACAATTTTTTTTTAAAAACAAGCTAAACCTTTTTTAAAAACATACAAATATATCATATTAATATTACCAAACGGATATGGTCATTTAACCAACAAATAAATATCAAACTTTTGTGCCTAAAAATATATAACTAGCATATGAACCCAAAAGAAAAAAAAAAACAAAACAAAAACATAACCTAAAAATAAAAAACACAATTTTTGAAAACCTCATTAATTTGTTTGGTTGAAAAGTTGCTTTAATAAATATATATAAAAAAAAATAAAAACAAATAACAGAGCGCATTATTTTTGAAGAATTTTTGACATTTAGCCAGCGCCAATTTTGACGCCTCTCATACACACAATAACCCAGCGAAATAAAAAATCCAAAAAATATCCTAAAACCCAACCACACCTAAGCTCACAATATAGGCCTCATCATGCTCATAATTTTGTTGCTTTTATAAATGTTAATTCTGCGTTTTCTCCTACCTCCCATACCACACATTGTATTTATCTACTTATTTGGTATTTTCTCGTTAACTGGGTTGAGAAACACTAAGCCTATTGCGTAGCATTTAACCTTAACCAAAACATTGATCAACAATATAAAAACTTGCTTAGTACATTTTAGTGCATGCTTCCATTTACTTTTGCTGTATTTTCTCTTTGCTTCACTTAGCTACAATTGGGCATACTGTTAACTAACAGTCGTGTCGGCTGTACCTAGCTGTAACTGTATTTTTTTCATGTCACGCCTCGTACATTTGATTTGATTTCTGTTTGTTGTGCTTCCAATTTTTGAATTGAACTTTTTGTATTAATATTTTGTATACCGTTTTTCGTTTTTACTAATCAAATTTTTATGTTTTCCCCCGTTTTTCTTTTTCAAATGTTTTTTTTTCTATGATTTCTTGTTGAATCGAAATCGATAACGATAAATCAATATATATATATATATATATAAACACGTACATGTGTGCCACAAAAATCCGCTTGCGCTGCCCGATCGCCTGCCTATCCACGCCAAACATGCACTCGCCTGCGACAAAACAAAAAAATACCACCAAAATACCACAAAAAAAACCAACAACCAAAACCAAAAAACTGTGACAAATACCATGCGGTAACAAAATTTCGTTGTTATTGTTGTTATATGTACAAAAATACAACAACAAACAAATGCGTGCTTGGTATATATGTGTATATATATATATGTATATGCGTGCTTGTATATATATGTATGTACCATTTGGTATATTTCGCGGCATTTAACGGAGCAGCCAAGGGACGCACTAACATTGAGCTACGCGAGCAATTCATATTGGCCGATGGCGTCTCACAGAGCATGGCCGCCTTTACGTCCAGACGTTCCACGCCCAATGCTGCCCAAACTGCCAACAGTTCGCAAAATGGCGCCGGTAGCCCCAACTTGCCGCCATATATGAGTGGACAGGGTCCCATCATAAAGGTAAATCAACAAACCTATCTCAGATGTGGGTTAACTAATCAAAAGAAATCAAAAACAAAAACAAAAAATACGTAAAAAAAGAGAAGAGAATCCCTTTCATAATCCCCATACTAATCCCGTATATTAGAGTTATGTGGTTCAGAACAAGTTCAATTGAGCGAATAATTGAAGTCAATCACAGAACTTTTTCAGTGATCTGTGAACGATGGCAATGAGTCTGTTATAGGTAATCCTCTCTACTGCGAAATCCAAATGCACAAGAGCGATTTAAAGTTGATCAGCAATTCATAAGCGATACTATTTATCGATATATTTAGCTTTCGCTTGGATGGCTTATTCAAACTGTCAATTGTTCATAAACTAAACACTATCCAACGGTCCAAACAACTGAATAACTGACCGTCTAAAGTCTACTAACCGAACTATGTAATGATAATGAGCTAGTCAAGCTCACGCCTCGAAAACTCAGAATTGAACTCGATCAATTGAACTAATATTCCCTGACTCTAATGTATGTCCCTTGTTAGGCTTATCCGATTATCCGAAAGGTAAGTTTTGAGCTTTCGTTTTGGGTTTATTGTGTGTGTTGTTGACAAAATAAAAATACCAAAAAAAAAAAAAAAGAAAAAGCAAAAGTTAAAAAATACATGCTCGCTCGCTGCTGCCGCTGCGTCGCGCCGACTCTTGATTTTTGTGCATGAGAATTTATATAATTCTATATACATATATATTTATCGTATTGAACGTATTGTTGTTGCTATACTACATACATATCGTATATATCTTTTACATATATATTTATTTGTTAATCCTTCAATTGTATTTTGTGTTTCGCTGCGTCATTTATTTTGAGTTAAATGCTAGCTACATCTTATCTAAGTGTGCGTGCAGTTGCGCTCCCTGAGGCTAGGTTTCTTTTGAGGTTATGTGCAGGCATTGATTAGGTTATATAGAGGCCAGTTGGCTTAAATGATCATATTCCGTTTAGTCAGCTATAAGCATATAGAGCAAAATGCCAACCAAAAAAAAAACTTATTTCTATATATGTAGCTGATGAGCACTTGGCCGAGTTAATGCCAATATTTGAGAAAATCCGTGCACAAGACCAAGTCCCATGCGCCTTTCCCATACATATGGGCGCCGGCGGCACAGTATTCGTGCGCTGCAATACCAGCCGCTCGGTACCACTGAGTCCACACGTGCTTCATTGTCATCCAACCACACACTGGGTAAGTCGAACTCGACCTGAGGAAGCAGACGGAAGTAAACCGCACCAGGTGGCAACAGGGCCAGTAGCAGGGGGCACCACCAAAAATACCCCTAGCCCTACAATTCTAACATCTAATTTCTTGCCTTCCTGTCAGGTACGCGAGCGTTCAGTACGTTCTATACCCATGTCCAGACCATCACGGTCTTCGCTTTCGGCCAGCACGCCTGATTCGCTCAGCGACAATGAGGGCAGCCATGGTGGACCCTCGGGCCGTTACACGCCGCGTAAGGTCACCTACACGAGCACACGCACGGGCCTGACGCCAGGAGGCTCACGTGCCGGCTCCAAGCCCAACTCGCGCCCGCTAAGCAGACAAGGCTCCAAGCCTCCGTCGCGACATGGCTCCACGCTTTCGCTAGACAGCACAGGTGAGTGCCTTGAGTTGTCCAGTATCCAACGCCTATTATAATCTGTTTCTTGCAAATTTGTTAGACGATCACACACCCTCGCGCATACCACAGCGTAAGACATCCGCTACAAGCACCATCAGCGGCACCGGCACCGGCACCACGCCACGTCCGGCTCGTCTGTCCGTAACCACGGCAGCCACACCGGGCAGCCGGCTCAACGGCATCAGCACTATCACACGCAAAACCGCATCCGGTTCGGCAAGTCCAGCGCCCACAAGGTAAGAGTTCGAGCTACAAAAAAAGCTTATTCCGTCAGTTGGGGTAAAGCGGGGGTTTATTTGATCAACACCTGAATTTTATTAATTTATTTATTTGTTTTTTTAAAAATATTTTCGGTTACTGCATTAACTTTTGACTCACACAACAATACCTACAAAATACCAAAATAATTCCGAAACATACTCAACAAATACTCGAAACTCATTAATCAACATGCTACTCACACAACAAATTGGCTTATATCAAAAAAATACACATTCAAAATACAAAAAAAAAAAAACAATTTTGAATCGCTAACTTACAAAACGAATTGGCTTGAATATCATATCGAAATTGAATGCTTGAATGCAACTAACTGCAACATCAAAAAAAAATACAAAAAAATATACCGACTTGTGCCTGAAACAAACAAAATATACCAGCAATGGAGGCATGAGTAGATCATCCAGTATACCAGCACTAACAGGCTTCGGCTTCAAACCACCTAGGTAATGCCCAATAAAAAAGTGAAAAACAAAAATAATACTAAACATATCATTATATATTATATTTATATTATGATTTCTATTCCATAAATATAAGTTAAAGTTAATAAGATTCAAGCTAGTTTAAGCAGTAGCAAAATAGTATATAAACTCTCGGTTATGGTTGTACTTATGCTAACTATTCATATATACTAAAGCCGCCCATCACGGATACCGGTTAAGATACCCCTCAACGATTCCAAAACATCATCGCCCACCAACTCGTCTGCCAATCCAAGCAGCTTGGGGTAAAGTTCTATATATATGTAAACTTAATATATATATAGAAAGAGAAAGTGCTCTATATCTATATATATCCACAGTAGAAATTATCTCAGCAAATTGTAGCAAGTAATTATTATAATTTCTATATATTATATACTGCAAATATATTTTTGTTCCTAGTTTTGTTACCGTTATTGTAAGCCCAGTGCATGTCAAACTGCAAGCGCCTCGTTCGTTTTCTAACTTCTAAGTTCGACTAATGCTTTAAGTTTGACTTTGTTAAATGACCTTGCGAAGAATATTTTATATACGAGAGCTCCGTCTAACTCCAAAGAATTTCTGCTTCAAAGTGAAACACACAACTTTTATTTCCATTTAAATTAATATTTACTTAAAAGGAAATAAACTAGACTTAAAATGTTTTAGCGTATTATAATTTCCTATTGAAATCATAGAAAATACATTTTTATAATTATATAATTATAATACTATTATCCATTTGATTTATAACTAACTATTCTAAATATGTTGAATATAAACCCATTTCTACAAGGTCTTCAATCTTCGGTAGACCGAAGTTAGCTTTTATTGTTTATATATATTTATCTTACCTAACTGTTCAATTGTTAAAGTTTCTACTTTCATTTAAAAATATTTGGAATATCTTTTCTCACATATATCATTGATATGCTTTTCACAGGCGCAACATTAGCGGCAGTTCCACGCCCTCGGGTATGCAAACGCCGCGCAAGAGCTCTGCGGAGCCGACGTTCAGCTCGACGATGCGGCGTACATCGCGCGGCACCACGCCTACAGAGAAACGCGAACCGTTCCGGCTCTAAGGCGGAAGCAACAGTTGCCAATTAAAATTAAAAAGAAAAAAAGAAAACACAATTCTTAAAATTACTAACCACGCACTGAAGTTCTTTCAACTAACCAACCAAATTGTGAATTTGCCCCCTGACTCTCTTCTCATCTGACTCAGACTACATTGATGTAAAAAATGTAGCAACAGGAACCAGTTCAAAGGACGCTACGAATACAAAAAATGAAAATTTGTATGTAAAAGCGTCGAGAATATTGCAAATTTTGGTAAAGCGCAAAAGACACACACACAAAAAAATGAGAAAAGCAAAATTTAGTTTTTATAGCAACCGTTATAAAGTAAAGCAAAAAGCTATTCACACAAAAGTTGAGAAAACTAAACACGACAAGTCATACTAACTAAAATGAGAACCTTTTGCTACTACTAATATTTAATGCCTTCTATTTACTAGTTATACTTAAATATGGATTTCCAAGTTTATAATTTGTATATACTTATATAAAATGCAAAATACACTCCAAGTGCTTTAAGGCAATTCAAAACTAAAAATTAAAGAAAACAAAAAAAATCAAGAAAAAATGAAACAAAAATTATAAAAATTAACAAAATTAAAAAAAATTATAAAAGAAAACATTCGAATTGTATTGTAATAGTCGTTGCGCACTGTCATTAGCTCTTGCAGTCTCTGATCGCGCTCACAAAATCGCCAGTTTGTGGGCGTGTTCTAGCTGTGGGCGTGGCAGTTGTGTGCGACCAAAACAGTAAACACAATAGAAATGAAAGAAAGTTTAAGTAAAAATTTGATTTTGTTCTGTTAAAACTAATTGTAAAAGTGAAGCGCGTAAGCCACATAAAAGGAAAAGAAAACAAAAAAATATTTAATTAAATACTAAAAGTCATTACTATAAGTTTAATTAATATTTAGTTAATAAGACTACCAAACACACATACATTTTGTAAGTGGAACATATAACTAATATAATAGAGTGAAACCGAAATGATAAAAACCTGCAGAACCTTTATATAAATATTGTATAATACTAATACTAAATTATTTTGTTATACAGAACGAGAGAAATGCATTCAACGTTTTTTGTAATTCTATTAAAAAACAATTCAAACGTGAAATAAACATTTACAAAAAAATATTAATAACAAAATATGATGTTGTTTTCTTTATAACCTTTTAACAATTTGATCTTTCAGACAACTATTTGCAGTGCTCCAATTGGTAGCGAACGTTCCAATTGGACGGAATTCAAAAGGAAAAATAGTTCTTCATCGACTGTTAAGTTGGTTAGTTTAACAGCTACAGCCGCTGTTATGTTACTGCTAACATTTTCTGAAACAACATTAGTGTCCATGCGGGTATGCACTGATATTTTTGCACTTGTGATTTCAGATCGCCTGGTAGGTACTTCAGCTGCATATTTCTCTTCTCTATGGAATATTGTCATTTTGTCCCCGTACAATAAAGGCCCTTGGGAAACTTTTCAATTAAATTTGACCAACAACCGATTTTTGTATAGCTTTAATTTAATTTTTAAGCAAATTTTAAAATATCTTTAATGCCGATCTTTGGAAAGACTCTTAATAGCCATATAATATAATATTTGAAACAAATCTGAAAAGATTTGGAGGGTCATTTGCTCCAGTCTAAAAAGCTAACCTGTTATAAATAAATCACAGAGAAAGTATTTTATTATGGAATTGAATTTATTTATTTAATTTATGAGAGCTTTGTATTCGTATTTGCTTTTTGTTTTTGACACATTGAAATTTGGTATTCGTAGTACATGCATTACAAACCGCATGAATTGCATGCTTTTTGCTTTTGCCTTCTTGACTTATACATCAACATTTAATTAAATAGACATTTAAATATTTGAATGCAAACGTATACATCTATATAGTTGCTAGTTAGTGTTATGTATTTGTAATTTCCCGGTTCTGTCATCTCAAAAAGTGACTAGAATGGCGCTGCTAATAGGAGGACATGCCCACAACTATAGATATCGTGCCTAGGGGATGTCTGTTTATCATTGTCTTTATTTTCTTGTCTTTTGTGCTTATTACTGTCTCAGAAAAGTTACCAGGGAATGGGGAGGAGTTACGAGTTAAACATTTATGCTAAAGTTTCAAGTGCGGATTGCAGTTTATGCGTTCTAGTAAATATCAAAGTGTGTATCTGTGTATGTGAATTACTCTGTGTGTGTGTGTGTGTGTGTGTGTGTGTACGTCAACGCCAGCGCTGCCAGTTGGTGCTGCTAATAACTATCATCTATTACAACGGAATCCCCTAATAATATCGCTGGCAATAATTGCAGCAAGTCTTTTGTCAGCCATTACAAGTACAAATATAGATATACATATCTAAGATAAAACTAAATACATAAATATACATAGATTCGTAGATCAATTGATATTTGTAAACCACGCTTGCCATACAGCTAAACTAAAGATAAGTTAATTAATCAATCAGCAGCTGAGCCAAAAGCTCTCTCAATGTCTGAGTAATCAATCAGCCCCTGAGACAACCTCTTGGCTCAGTCAGCCTTATAAAGCAATCCGTCAGGAGTTGTACCAAACACTTGGCACAAGCTTTCACAGAAATCGAGTGTTGCACTAAAGACGAAATTAAACAAAAATAAAAAAGTTAACAAAACAAAAACAGAAGCTTAGGAGCTGGTCTTGAAGTATGGGGTAGAGTTTTGTGTGTGTTGTATATTAGCAGCAGGGCGGCAGATGAGGAAGCAGAAGCAGGGGCAACAGCTGTGGCATTGGTATAGTTAGCATCAGGGCTGCGTCTTTTATTTCATTTAGAATCGTTAGACGCAGCATCCAAGTGCTGCGCCACTGTCACCTGGCATGGCCGCTGCCGGCAGTTTGCGCCTTTGGCTGTTTGCCGCCTGTAGAGTTGGCACCGCTGCCAGCTCCACCAGCAGCAGCAGCTCCGCCACTTCCTCCTCCTCCTCCAGCTCCGCCAGCTGCTGTGCCAGAGCTCTGCGCCACATCGCCTCGATGATGATGATGGTGATGGTGATGATTGTGATTGTGATGTCGCCGGCCACCGCGATAATGTCGACGATTGTGATGCTGATAGTTGTTATTTGTGGGCTCTGGCAGCACACGTTGCGTCTCCTGCACTACAGGAGCAAAGCTGCTGACTACTGGCTTTGCCTGCGCGGCTGTGCTGCTAGCTGGTTCTGCCGTGCCGGCCAGCTTCTTAGCTGCCTCGGCCTCTTCGCGACTTCGACGCCGACGCACATCCTCCTCCGTTTCGATGGCTATGACTGTGCCTGCCTCAGCCTCTGCATCGATGATAGCGCCGCGGCTTTTTTGCTGCAGATAGAGTTGCGACATATGCTGCTGCATTTGCCGCAGTTCCTGTGTCACTTTGAAATCGGGCGCATTTTCCAGCTCGGCAGGCGGCATCGCGCACTTCAAACTGTCTGATTCATCGCGTATATGCTCCCGACAGACGGGGCACAGAGCCTGAAAAGGATCTGCAGTCTTCTGCAGCCAGGCGGGTAACTTCTCGAACTCCTCCTGGAAAGTGCGACGCAGCGCATTCAAATGCCGGGCCAAGCAATAGCTGTGTAGGTAATGGAAGCACTCGGTGCGTGTGAACTCATCGCCCTCGCTAAAGCCATACAAACAGATGACGCACTGACCACTGGGCAAATTGCTGCCGGTCAAATGCTCGCGCACCACCTCGATCAAATCGAAAACGACTGGCAGACCGAGTGACTCGTTGATCTTTGCGTCACACGCACTGCGTATGGCTTCTAGTCGGGCATCGTCCAGGCCACGGGGACGTAGCAGCTTAAATTCTGGACTCACATCCGGATAGCCAGGCGGGGGCAGCACCTGGAGAGTGACACAAATATACTTCTGCTCATCCTCCTCGCCAGTAAGCGGCAGCACCGTTGTCTCAATGATGTCCACAGCGCCACTAGAAATTAACAACAGTTACTCTATGTAGTAAATAGGGGGTTCACACATTCGTGAGTCTTACCTGGCGCCTCGTACAATGCGCACATCGTCCATGAGAATCGCCTCTAGCGATTCCAATTCCTCGTCTAGCAAACTGCAAACGAAATACAGAAAAACAACATCGTTTTTTTTTTGCAAATGCATAAGCATTACATTACTATAATATACTACTATTTAACTATGTCTTCTTACCCATCCATGTTCGTTGTTTTTTTGCTTATGTCTTTAAATGCTATTTTCTTAAATATATAATAAAAAATCGATTGAGACAAAAATTTTGCGATTGACAACAACAACTAAAATTCGGCAATCGCAGTACAACGTTTATCCGACGACCAGTCACGACGAGCGTTAACACAGAGTTGACACTGGAAGGTGCGCCATCTAGTGTGGGGTAGCTGTAAAGAGTATTAGTAGATTTTAACAGTCTGTTTGAGTAACTATGCTGTCTTAACAGAATGAAAATGACTTTAAACCGCTAGGGATTATACAAATGTTTGTTACGCGCCAAATTTGAATTAGCATACACTTAAAAAATCTTTTTTAGATCTTTTTTGAAATGTAGCAAGTTAGAGGAATGTTAACTTAGATTCAACTCATGTATAATTTTTTAATATAATAAAGTTATAAGCACATATACACACATGTACATATTAACAGAGAGCAATCTTATTAACACACATCTTCATATTGAACGATGGGCTTAAAATTATAGATTTGTAAAGTTAATGTTATTGTTTAATAAAATTAAATAAAATTAGAAAGATAATAGATTCTTTACAATTATATTAATATATTTGTTTTTAAAACTTACATTTTCTTTACTCCGCTTTATTTTTATTACATGATCTTATGCCGCGGTAATTCTGTAGCTGTTAAACATAATATGCTAAAACATTTATGTATAATAATTAATTTCAAAGCGAGCATTTTATCCTTGATTATCATTTAAATAATATAGTTTAAAAATAATAATTTTTTTTATGGAAGACTTTAAAAAATTCATTCATTTTTCTTCGCATACTTTTTCTCTTACCACCTCTTGTTATTCTTTTCTATTGCGCTGACTACTAATAAAGGACACTGGCGGCATTCCCTTGGGTCGCTTGCCTTCTAATACTCACACACTCACACACACAGACACATATATTTATATATATATATGAATTGAAAGCTAAGCTGGGCAGCTTTTTTGGGCTTGAGCATTTTAATATGCTAGCCAAAATAATTTTAGAACTGAAAAATTTCCATGGCAGAGTCCTACGCAGCTTGTACGTCAATTCCCAGTTCTAAGGTGATGGTGGTGCTTGCGGTGGTGGGTCTGCTGGGGCTTGTGGTGACAATGATTGCTCGCGCGCTTTTCACCACAGCAAGCTATCGAATGTGGGAATGGAAATGAAATCGAGTGAAGCGCATATCGCACCCCAGAGCAGTCGCTATTAAATGGCACAGGCAGCGTTTTCGGTACTCGGCGCCAAGCGAAAAATCAGTTTACAACGGAAAGCACAAAGCGACGGTCGTTAAAATTCAGTTAAGCTACGTGAAAATAAAATAAATAAAAAAAAATCTAAAAAAGAAATCCCAAGCAAAACGAAGTTTAACGTAAATTTTGCGTGGTAATAAAAAAGGTGCTGAAATTCCTCTGATTGTGTTTGTTGTGTGCACTGAATTCCACGAGTTGCCAAATAAGTTGGCCAGCAAGGATAACAAAGCGCTGCGTGTCCTGAGCTAGGAAAAATCCGCCCCAAAAAGCAGAAGCTAAGCCAACGCAAAGTTTGGTACGTTGTCGCATGGAAAAAGAAGTGAAAGAACGAAGCACAGATGAAATAGCGCATAGCATTTCGAAGCACTTTTATCCTGACGTGTCCTGCGCACGCAGCACACGCGAGGAGAGACAAGTACACATACATATACACACGTATACACATACATATATACATATGTACATATAAGCAAAAGGGATGCACGTGCTTTAGTCGAATTGTCTCTGATTTTACATCTGAAATATTTAAATATTTGCATACGAAGCGCTTCCAAAAATACAATTTGAACAATCAGCAAATATTTGCATGCACGACGCAGTATTTTTTCTATTTTATTTTTATCAATTTAAAAGCGAAAAACATTAAAAATCAAGTCAAATTTATGTCTCAGTGGCGACAGCACGTGTTGCAACAGCTACAACAATTGCATTTTCGCTAAACAATATAATGTTTATTTATTTATCTTATAGCAATATTGTGTGTGCATCACATAAACATTTGCTGTACATGGAAATGCTTAGTAAAGTGCATTTAAACCATTTTCAACTGTTTTCCCGCAAGCTTTTCACGTCTACTCTGCCGTTCACCCTCCCTCTCTCTTTCCCTCTCTTTTGCACCTCTTCTCTTTCTCTCTTGCTCCCATCTGCGTGATGTGGCAAAGGGAAATTGCATTGAGGCTGGCAATGGCATTGGCTGGGGGTTGTTCTGCCCAAAAAAGTTGAATATAAATGAAAAGCTCACACTCATGACAAATCGCCCTTCCTCTTGGACACACATCCTCATCAGCATCCTCAATTTAGTTTAACAGTTGCCAAAAAATATAGAAAAAAGAGAATACGAAAGTGAACTTTGTGCTTGGCTGATTGCATTTTGGCCCTGGCAAATTTCAGTTTGTATCTCCTTCTTGCTTCCACTGCCTCTGAGCAGTGCAGAGTGAGAGCGAAAGTGCATGTCGCTACATAAGACATTGGGTCTTTGGTTTTTGGCATTTCCCTAGCGTGTTGACCGATGTGATGAATCGTCTTTACTTGATTCTCTACATTGTTCCACTTATAATGTTCCTTCTCAGCAGCCTTGTCTTGCAAATATCAGCTGCGTTTGAGTGTGGCATAGTTAAAGGTTTCCATAGAATCGTCGTAGAAATCAGCTTCAAGCGAGAAACAGCTGATTTCCATTTTACTTAAGTTACTTGAACAGTTCAACGACTCGTTGTCTGTTTGATATTTAATATTCAATTCGCACTTGGAAAGACAAGCTCTGTCACACATAGTATTTCGACTTGGCATTAAGTCATTTTTACAACATATAATATGCCTAAAATATTTAATAATTTTAAAATACTCTACTCTTTTGATCTCTATGAGACGACATATGCAAATCAAAGGAGTAAAGTTTACTTATATAGATATGTATTATATATATATATATATATTATATACTTAGATTAACTAGTTTTAAATCTGCATTCTTTGTCTCGTCTAAGATTTCTAACATACTTCAGCAGATCAGAGATAGCAAACGGAGCAGTTAATGACAGGCCTAATATTGACACTCCTCTTTTAATATTGTGAGCATTCCATTGTTAAGCATCTATCAAATATTGAAGGAAAACTTTCCACATTACTAACAACTGAGCCAAAGCCACATCAGCTGCAAGTGTTTACATAAGAATTCTGGCAACTTGCAATAGACCAAGGTTAGGGATGCATAAACAATAAAAAATGAAATAAAAAACAACAAGCAGATGAAATACAAAACCTTTGAATAGAGCAGTTAAAGCCAAACTCAAGCAGTTTAAGCAGAGCCAAGTGGCTCCAACCAGACCAGTCCAGCCCAGTCCATGGCCCGCGACGACAGAGTCTAACACAGATTTCCAGGAAGCAAAGGCGTCCAATGCGGGCGTTGTTTGTAACAATCAAGGCCAGAACAAGAAAGAGAAGAAGCACGAAAACGAGAGGAAGAGCGAAGGCAGGCAGAGGGAGGCAAGGCTATGGATGCAGCACTTGAATCTTACCATCGATTATATATATATGTGTGGCGTAGATTTTCGGCGCCAAATGAATTACTCTCATTGCTAGACCAGAGCAAGTGAAAGCCTTGCATTGGAACGTAAGCCACTGCGTAATACTCTGCTCACCGAGAGCTCAAATTAAAATCCAGCTAATCGATAACTGTGATGATAGGTCTAAGATATTGGAGCCACAGGCATTCAGCCTTTGGCTGCGAGTGGAATATATTTACACAAATAACAATTCAACCATGCTAAATTACAATAGAAGCTCTTATCTTAGTAAGCCCGGATCAGAGGGTGCGTGTATTATACTAGTTGATTGTTCATAGAAATTATTTTGATGACTTATTCAACTCTAATATTCATTACAATATAATAATAATACGAATAGTAATAATTAAAAGAAATAGTAGCAAGCTTGAATGTTATAAATGAAGCACATAGTTTTGTTTCTTTAGAGGTCATCTGACATCTATAAATATATTGACATTTTGAAATCTTCCACCTATATATTGCTTAGCACAGTCCCAACAGAGTGCATATATTTTCAAGAGCAAAGGCCACATGAAACGTTGCTGCTACATTTGAGTGAAGCAGTTTTGAAAAAGTGCCGGCAGCTAATCCGAGCAAATGCCAAAATATGTCGAATCCAAAAATAGCTCGGAAATGTGCAACTATTTACATGAATTGGCTGTGTTTACAAGTGCAACAGCGACGGTGCTTGTGCGGGCCCTGGAAGCAATTGCAAATTCGAAAAAAAGCCATAAAAAATGCGCAAATCGATTGCATGAATTAAATGCATTTTATAGGCAATCAAACTGCATGATTTATGTAAAGTAGTTAAGACCCTAACAACTGTCTCGCTCGCTCTCTCGCTCTGTCTATCTATCTACCTCCATCACATACTCATAGCCTATCGCTTACCTCAATTCGCTTATCGATTTGCTCTGACAAGCACGCCATGTCATATGCACTCAGGCTCCCCCGTGTGCCATATCTGACGACCCTTCCTATCCAAAAATTTGTTAGTGTGTGTGTGTGAGTGTGAGAGACTGTGTCTATCGGTGTGTGCTTTAAACTTGACGGAGTCAGCGGCTACAGCTTTAAAGCAACCCCGCGCGAGTCCTACGCTTCGATCAGCTAAAAGGGGGTTGAAGTTCAAATACCCTGTATTCACAAATTAATATAGAGATGGGATTTGTGCAATAGAAAACAATTGTCATAGTCATCTATATTATTATTATTTTATATAAATAATTGTGCTCATATTATATATAATATTTTTATATTCAAAATAAAATTTTTTATAATATATATAATATATTAATAATATAGTATAATTATATTATTATATATATATTCATTTCTTTTTTATGGAAATTATTCGATTTTATTTATGTTCGTATTGGAATTTAAGCAACGTTAAAAAGAAGTTTTATAGGAATATATGTTTGATGTGCATCGATATCTTATAATATATTATATTAGATGTTTTAAATGATCTGTTAAAATTAAAATTAGATACTTTTTTAATTTATAAAAGAATTAGGGAGAAAGATCGTGTT